CATGTCTTTGTCAGTGGGCAAACGTACAAAATCAGCAGGGGATCAAATACTTTTTTCCCTCACTGTATACAGTAACTACTGGCTAACTGGACTTTGGTACTGTATGTAAGAATCAGTGAATTTGTAAGGTTTCCTTTGTTTGTCTGTGTCCAGTAACTGACGCATCTCAGGTCTACGGAGTAAGTGAATAACTGATTGACTGACTGACCGACGCTCATTCTTCACCTTTGACCCCCTGACCTCCAGGTGACCCCTCGTCTGGACACCCACCCGGCCATGATCACGGTGCTGGAGATGGGCGCCGCACGCCACTTCCTGCGTACTCAGCAGATGGCCCGCAGTACCGAGGAGAGGGCCCAGATGCTGCAGCCCACCCTGGAGATCAACGCTGGGTACGAGAGGGAGAGTGGAGGGATGGAGTGGAGAGGGATCTCTAAATCGAGGCGTTTTATGTCCAAATCCATAATAGTTTCTAGTTTTATTTGTCACATGCAGAAGTACAGTGAAATGCTTAACTTGCAAGCCCTTCCCAACAATGCAGTATTCAATATCACAATAGTATTGTGTTGATTTGTGTTTGTCTCCTGCTCTCCCTTTCCTCTATAGTCATGACCTCATCAAGAAGATGCACTCACTGAAGGAGTCCGACTCTGCACTCGCACAACTGCTGCTGGAGCAGGTAGAGTATACTCTCTTTGATCATAACATGGACCTCTGGTCTTATTCCAGTTGTTAGTTTCACTCTTGTTGGTACCAGTTGTCAGTTTCATGCAGGCCTGTCATGCTCCATATCCTCCAGATCTACGACAACGCAATGATCGCAGCGGGCCTCAACGACGACCCCCGACCCATGATCGCCCGCCTCAATGACCTGCTGACCAGAGCGCTGGAGAAACACTGAGACGCAGAGGTATGATGTCACTTCCTGTCATGGCCGTCACCTGTAGGGCCTACAGACACTACAGTCGCTGCCTGGTTTAACTCCCCATCGCCCCAACCAACCGTCCTACTGGTCAGGTCATTGTAGGCCCTACATAGACATGTGACCATGTGATACTGAAGCTACTACCCCCATCAACAACCCACTACTCTGGTGGCCTTTACACATTCAGGCCTGCCCATCTATACCCAGAAAAGTCCCTTCAATACAAACACACTGTCCAAGGAGAGCAGGGAGTCTTTGGCCTGCTCAGAGACAAAATGGAGAAGACGGACACGGCTCAAGCTATGAATTTTTGTTGCGTGGGCTCTCCAGCATTTTCTATGTGTTTGTCCGTTTTTATTCATGTTGTGTGTGATGACAGAGATGTGACGGTTTTGACTGAAGATATTTACAAGACTGTGCCATAAGTAAAGTGGAAACCCCATATCTGAAGAATGGATTAGTGCTTTGTAAAATAAGTCTTATTGACATTGGGACTGGTGTAATAATTGTACATATTTCCATGACATGCATACTTCCTAGATGACAGTTCAATACAATTGTTACTGTTGGCCCTCTTTTTCATATTTTAGTTTTTGTCATCTTGATTCGGGTTCCTCATTTTTTTGTATAGTTTTTTTTTTACTTTTTAATTTAAAGTGATATTTTCCTCCAACTATTCCTCAGATATGATGGTTGCAATCACACTACTTGGGCCATAGATTCCTGTCCTTCAGAGAAGAATATTGAAACTGACTAAAGACTCATTTTACGATTTAGATGTGTTGCTGTGAGAAATGTGTACAAGATTGTATATTACCATCTGTATGTGGAATTTGACAAATGTCTTAATTCAGTGCTCAAGTTACCATACAATTATTTTTGTGCCTGTTTACAATGGCTGACATCTAAGAATTAGTGCTTCTAATACCCAGATTGTAAAGTATGTTACTGATGTATTATGAATAAAACACATTTACTGAACCCTGTGGATTGGCCTCTAGAGACCTGTTTATACCTGGTTGTAACGTGTGTCCTGTGTCCTGATCTTGTCCACCTCTGGAGGTAGTAGTCAGGGACACATTCTATCTGGATGTCTCATGTAAACATCTGGATTATGCAACCCTTTAAAACCCGTGATTCGATTCTTATATTAGATTTTAAAAGGATCATACACTGTTTACCAGGGGGCAGGGCTACCGACGTAAAGGCTACTCCGAAAATGGTGCTGGCTAAGGCTAAAACTGGCGAGTATAGGGATATTGTTATCCACGTCGGCACCAACGACGTTAGGATGAAACGGTCAGAGGTCACCAAGCGCTACATAGATCAGCGTGTAAATTAGCTAGAAAGATGTCGGCATCGAGTAATTGTCTCTGGCCTCCTCCCAGTTAGGGGGAGTGATGAGCTCTACAGCAGTCTCAACTCAATCGCTGGTTGAAACTGTTTTCTGCCCCTCCCAAAATATAGAATTTGTAGATAATTGGCCCTCTTTCTGGGACTCACCCACAAACAGGACCAAGCCTGGCCTGCTGAGGAGTTACTGACTCCATCCTTGCTGGAGGGGTGCTCTCATCTTATCTAGCAACATAGACAGGGCTCTAGCTCCACAATGAGATAGGGTGCAGGCCAGGCAGCAGGCTGTTAGCCAGCCTGCCAGCTTAGTGGAGTCTGCCACTAGCACAGTCAGTGTAGTTAGCTCAGCTATCCCCATTGAGACAGTGTCTGTGCTTCGATCTAGGTTGAGCTAAACTATACATTTACATTTTAGTCATTTAGCAGACGCTCTTATCCAGAGCGACTTACAGTTAGTGAATACATATTTTTTTTATACTGGTCCCCCGTGGGAATCGAACCCACAACCCTGGCGTTGCAAACGCCATGCTCTATCAACTGAGCTACATCCCTGCCGGCCATTCCCTCCCCTACCCTGGACGACGCTGGGCCAATTGTGCGCCGCCCAGGAGTCTCCCGGTCGCGGCCGGCGGCGACAGAGCCTGGATTCGAACCAGGATCTCTAGTGGCACAGTTAGCACTGCGCCACTCAGGAGTACATGGCGGTGTTCGCTTTAGCAATCTCACTGGAATAAAGGCCACCTCCATTCCTGTCATTATTGAAAGAGATTGTGATATCTGAAAACAGGGATACTTAATGTTAGATCTCTCACTTCCAAGGCAGTCATAATCAATGAACTAATCACTGATCATAATGTTGATGTGATTGGCCTGAATGAAACATGGCTCAAGCTTGATTAATTTACTGTGTTAAATGAGGCCTGTTGCTAACATTTACGACAGCAAATTTCAATTTACTCCCCCCCCCAAAAAAAAATTACTGCGTTTTCGTCTTTTGAGCTTCTAGTCATGAAATCTAGGCAGCCTACTCAATCACTTTTTATAGCTACTGTTTTACAGGCCTCCTTGGCCGTATACAGCGTTCCTCACTGAGTTCCCTGAATTCCCATTGGACCTTGTAATCATGGCAGATAATATTCCAAATTTTTGTGACTTTAATATTCACATGGAAAAGTCCACAGATCCACTCCAAAAGGCTTTCGGAGCCATCATCCGCTCAGTGGGTTTTGTCCGGACCTACTCATTGTCACAGTCATACCCTGGATCTAGTTTTGTCTCGTGGAATAAATATTGTGGATCTAAATGTTTTTCTTCATAATCCTGGACTATCGGACCACCATTTTATTACGTTTGCAATCGCGACAAATAATCTGCTCAAACCCCAACCAAGGATCATCAAAAGCCGTGCAATACATTCTCGGGACAACCCAAAGATTCCTAGATGCCCTTCCAGACTCCCTCCACCTACCCAAGGACGTCGGAGTACAAAAAGTCGGTTAGCCACCTAACTGAGGATCTAAATGTAATCTTGCGTAATACCCAAGATGCAGTCACACCCCTAAAAACAAAATACATTTGTCACAATAAATTTGCTCCCTGGTATACAGGAAATACCCGAGTCCTGAAACAAGCTTCCAGAAAATTGGAACGGAAATGGCGCTCCACCAAACTGGAATTCTTCCGACTAGCTTGGAGAGACAGTACGGTGCAATGTCGAAGAGCCCTCACTGCTGCTCGATCATCCTATTTCTCCAACCTAATTGAGGAGAATAAGAACAATCCTACATGTATTTTTGAGAGGATGGCTTGCACTTCAGCAGTGATGAATTCATGAAGTTCTTCGATGAAAAGATCATGATCATTAGAAAGCAAATTAAGGACTCAAATCAAATCAAATGTTATTTGTCACATGAGCCGAATACAACAAGTGTAGACCTTACAGTGAAATGCTTACTTACAAGCCCTTAACCAACAATGCAGTTTTAAGAAAGAATACCAAAAAAAAATAACACAGAAAATACAATGGTGCAGCTGCAGAACCTTTTGAGGATCTGAGGACCCATGCAAAATCTTTTCAGACTCCTTAGGGGGAATAGGTTTTGTCGTGCCCTCTTCACGACTGTCTTGGTGTGCTTGGACCATGTTAGTTTGTTGGTGATGTGGACACGAAGGAACTTGAAGCTCTCATCCTGCTCCACTACAGCCCTGTCGATGACAATGGGGGCGTGCTCGGTCCTCTTCTTTTCCCTGTAGTCCACAATCCTCTCCTTTGTCTTGATCACGTTGAGGGAGAGGTCACTGACCTCCTCCCTATAGGCTGTCTTGTCGTTGTCAGTGATCAGGCCTACCACTGTTGTGTCATTGGCAAACTTAATGATGGTGTTGGAGTCGTGCCTGGCCATGCAGTCATGAGTGAACAGGGAGTACAGGAGGGGACTGAGCACGCACTCCTGAGGGACTGTTGAGGATCAGCGTGGTGGATGTGTTGTTACCTACCCTTACCACCTGGGGGCGGCCCGTCAGGAAGTCCAGGATCCAGTTGCAGAGGGAGGTGTTTAGTCCCAGGGTCCTTAGCTTAGTGATGAGCTTTGAGGGCATTATGGTGTTGAACGCTGAGCTGTAGTCAATGAATAGCATTCTCACATAGGTGTTCCTTTTGTCCAGGTGGGAAAGGGCAGTGTGGAGTGCAATAGAGATTGCATCATCTGTGGATCTGTTGGGGCGGTATGCAAATTGGAGTGGGTCTAGGGATTTCTGGGATAATGGTGTTGATGTGAGCCATGACCAGCCTTTCAAAGCACTTCATGGCTACAGACGTGAGTGCTACGGGTCGGTAGTCATTTAGGCAGGTTACCTTAGTGTTCTTGGGCACAGGGACTATGGTGGTCTGCTTGTAAACATGTTGGTATTACAGACTCAGACAGGGAGAGGTTGAAAATGTCAGTGAAGACACTTGCCAGTTGGTCAGCGCATGCTCGGAGTACACGTCCTGGTAATCTGTCTGCCTTGTGAATGTTGACCTGTTTAAAGGTCTTACTCACATCGGCTACGGAGAGCGTGATCACACAGTCGTCTGGAACAGCTGATGCTCTCATGCATTTTCAGTGTTACTTGCCTCGAAGCGAGCATATAAGTAATTTAGCTCGTCTGGTAGGCTCGTGTCACTGGGCAGCTTGTGGCTGTGCTTCCCTTTGTAGTCTGTAATAGTTTGCAAGCCCTGCCACATCCGACGAGCGTCGGAGCCGGTGTACTACGATTCAATCTTAGTCCTGTATTGACGCTTTGCCTGTTTGATGGTTCGTCGGAGGGCCTAGTGGGATTTCTTATAAGCTTCCGGGTTAGAGTCCCGTTTCTTGAAAGTGGCAGCTCTACCCTTTAGCTCAGTGCGGATGTTGCCTGTAATCCATGGCTTCTGGTTGTGGTATGTTCGTACAGTCAGTGTGGGGACGACATCATCGATTCACTTTTGATGAAGCCAGTGACTGATGTGGTGTACTCCTCAATGCCATCGGAAGAATCCCGGAACATATTCCAGTCTGTGCTAGCAAAACAGTCCTGTAGCTTAGCATCTGCGTCATCTGACCACTTTTCTATTGACCGAGTCACTGGTGCTTCCTGCTTTAGTTTTTGCAGGAATCAGGAGGAGGATATAATTATGGTCAGATTTGCCAAATGGAGGGCGGCAAGGGAGAGCTTTGTACGCGTCTCTGTGTGTGGAGTAAAGGTGGTCTAGAGTTTGGTTTCCCTCTGGTTGCACATTTAACACGCTGGTAGAAATGAGGTAAAACAGATTTAAATGTCCCTGCATTGAAGTCCACGGCCACTAGGAGCGCTGCCTCTGGATGAGCATTTTCCTGTTTGCTTATGGCCGTATAAAGTTCATTGAGTGCGGTCTTTGAATCTGCGTATTTCTCCAAAGCTCAGTTGTCCTGAGTCTGCACAGAACTGCCAGGACCTAGGATTAATGGAGACATTCAAGTTTATTTATTCTCCATCTCTTGACACATTCATGAAAATAGTAATGGCCTCTAAACCCTCAAGCTGCATACTGGACCCTATTCCAACTAAACTACTGAAAGAGCTACTTCCTGTGCTTGGCCCTCCTATGTTGAACATAATAAATGGCTCCCTATCCACTGGATGTGTACCAAACTCACTAAAAGTGGCAGTAATAAAGCCTCTCTTGAAAAAGCCAAACCTTGACACGGAAAATGTAAAAAACAATTGGCCTATATGAATCTCCCATTCCTCTAAAGATTTTTAGATAAAGCTGTTGCGTAGCAACTCACTGCCTTCCTGAAGACAAATAATGTATACGAAACGCTTCAGTCTGGTTTTAGACCCCATCATAGCACTGAGACTGCACTTGTGAAGGTGGTAAATTACCTTTTAATGGCGTCAGACCAAGGCTCTGCATCTGTCTTTGTGCTCCTAGACCTTAGTGCTGCTTTTGACACCATCGATCACCACATTCTTTTGGAGAGATTGGAAACCCTAATTGGTCTACACAGACATGTTCTTGCCTGGTTTAGATCTTGTCTGTCGGAAAGATATCAGTTTGTCTCTGTGGATCTCTGACAAATCAATTGTACGTTTCGGCGTTTCTCAAGGTTCCATTTTAGGACCACTATTGTTTTCACTATATATTCTACCTCTTGGTGATGTCATTCGGAAACACAATGTCAACTTTGACTGCTATGCGGACGACACACAGCTGTATATTTTGATGAAACATGGTGAAGCCCCAAAATTGCCTACCCTGGAAGCCTGTGTTTCAGACATAAGGAAGTGGATGGTGGCACATTTTTTACTTTTAAACTCAGACAAAACAGAGATGCTAGTTCTAGGTCCCAAGAAACAAAGAGATCTGCTGTTGGATCTGACAATGAATCTTGATGGTTGTACAGTTGTCTCAAATAAAACTGTGAAGGACCTCTGCGTTACTCTGGACACTGATCTCCCTTTTGACGAACATATCAAGAATATTTCAAGGACAGCTTTTTTCCATCTTCGTAACATTTTTAAATAATCAGAAAAGTTTTTTTTCCCAAAAATGATGCAGAAAAACTAATCCATGCTTTTGTCACTTCTAGATAAGACTACTGCAATGCTCTACTTTCCGGCTACCCGGATAAAGCACTAAATAAACTTCAGTTAGTGCTAAACATGGCTGCTAGAATCTTGACCAGAACCAAACAATTTGATCATATTACTCTACTCCAGTGCTAGCCTCTCTACACTGGCTTCCTACCCATCTCTCTGATTTGGTCCTGCCGTACATACCTACATGTACGCTACGGTCACAAGACGCAGGCCTCCTTATTGTCCCTAGAATGGCCTGTTGATATCCCTCTAGTGGTGTGGGGGCTGTGCTTTGGAAAAGTGGGTGGGGTTATATCCTGCCTGGTTTGCCCTGTCCGGGGGTATCGTCGGACGGGGCCACGGTGTCCCCCGACCCACCCGTCTCAGCCTCCAGTATCTATGCTGCAGTAGTCTATGTGCCGGGGGGGCTAGGGTCAGTCTGTTATATCTGGTGTAATTCTCCTGTCTTATCTGGTGTCCTGTGTGAATTTAAGTATGCTCCCTCTAATTTATCTCTCTCCCATCCCGGAGGACCTTAGCCCTAGGATCATGCCTCAGGACTACCTGGCCTGATGTCTCCTGGCTGTCCCCAGTCCACCTGCTCCAGTTTCAACTGTTCTGCCTGTGGCTATGGAACCCTGACCTGTTCACCGGACGTGCTACCTTGTCCCGGACCTGCTGTTTTTGACTCTCTCTCTCTCTCTCTCTACCGCACCTGCTGTCTCGACCTCTGAATGCTCGGCTATGAAAAGTGAACTGACATTTACTCCTGAGGTACTGACCTGTTGCACCTTCTACAACCACTGTGATTATTATTTGACCCTGCTGGTCATTTATGAACGTTTGAACATATTGAAGAACAATCTGGCCTTAATGGCCATGTACTCTTATAATCTCCACCCGGCACAGCCAGAAGAGGACCGGCCACCCCTCCTCTCTAGGTTTCTTCCTAGGTTCCTGACATTCTAGCGAGTTTTTCCTAGCCACCGTGCTTCTACATCTGCATTGCTTGCTGTTTGGGGTTTTAGGCTGGGTTTCTGTAGAGCACTTTGTAATATCTGCTGATGTAAAAAGGGCTTTATAAATACATTTGATTTATTGATTATAGCACGCTTGACATTTTAAAGGTAATTTCTGATTTGAGCCGCGATCTGCAGAGATGACCGTAAATGCGATATCCGTGGACATAGGGGAAAATGCCTTTAAAAGCTGCGTTGTTGGCTGTCCAGCCCGCTGCTCTATGGAGTGAATGTATCTAAAAATAGAAATCTCTCAAATAAGAGGGACCAGGACAAATAAGACATTTTAATACCATGTGTAAGATACGGCTAAGCTTAATAGAGTGATAGTGATGGGATCACATCACGAAAACCACATGTTAATGCAAGGTGTAACCAGGGCTATAAATATAAATTTTTGAGACGGTGCTTTGGCAAGATTAGAACCTGCGACCTTCTGGTTTCTATTCCATTGCCTAGTCAATTGCGCCAGCAGGGTGGGGAGTACACCTCTGTTTTGTCACATATTTAAAGCTGTTCAAAGTTAGAAAGGTAGTACACTGAACAATAATATTAACGCAACATGTAAAGTGTTGGTTCCGTTTTGAAGGAGCGTGCAATTGGCATGCTGACTGCAGGAAGGTCCACCAGAGCTGTTTTCAGATAATTAAATGTTCATTTCTGCTGAGCCATATTTCTGTCTGTAATAAAGCCCTTTTGTGGGGAAAAACTCATTCTGATTGGCTGTGCCTGGCTCCCCAGTAGGTGGGCCTGGCTCCCATGGCTGCACCCCTGCCCAGTCACGTGAAATCCATAGATTAGGGCCTAATTAATTTATTTCAATTGACTAATTTATTTCAATTGAACTGTAACTCAGTAAAATTGTTGAAATTGTTGCATGTTACGTTTATATTTTTGTTCAGTAAAGATTAGAAATGTGACTAGTTAAGAATGTTGGGTAAGGTTGGAAAACAAGTCGCTACCAGGATTTGAACTGGGAACCTTACGAGTCGCAACTTGCATTTAACATCCTCCATCCACCTCAAACCTACCTTTTTAAAAGCGTTTATTTTATTGGACCCTCACCTGTAAACTGGTCATGGCTAGAAGGGGTCCAGCTTTTGTCAGAATTGACCTGTCGTAGTAGGTTTAGGTGAATTAGGTTAAGAAAATGGTTAGGGTTAGCTCAAATGCAAAAAATAAACGTTTGACAAAAGCTGAATCCCATCTAGACATGACCCTGTAAACTCCATCCACTGACATGCCACTCTACGCTCTGCCCACTGAGCTTTCATCCAACCAATCACATTAGTTCTGCCTTTGAGGCGGAGCTTCCCTGAGAAGAAAATTGAGGCCAGGGCCACGTTCAGTTGCCGAACGTTGTCGAACGTTGCAGATAGAAAACCATTAATTGAGCTGATGTGATTCCTTATTCTACATGTCAGAGAGGCATGTTTGTTCTACATAGCCCATTTATATATGAACGTTTCAAAACGTTGGGTCCTGCTGAACGCGACCCATGATTCTTGTCAGCTTTCTATTGTCTAGTGCTGCTCTATAATGCGCCCTGTATTGAATCCTGGCCTGAATGAGGAAAACTCCTGAGCAGAATTCCAAGGCTCTTTCTCAATTATTCTTTCCTCAATTCCATGTGTCCTCTCTCCTTGCCTCATTTAACACCCTCCAACCTCCCTCCCTGACCCTCCATCCACCTCCAACCCTGACTCTCCATCCACCTCCAGCCTCTCTCCCTGACCCTCCATCCTCCTCCAACCTCCCTGCCAGCCTTTATTTTATTTAACTCTCACCTGTAAACTCCACCCACTGACGTGTCACTAAGCTCTTCCCACTAAGCTTTCATCCAACCAATCAATTTGTTCCCGACTACCTCTGGAGGTGGTACTATGAACGCAGCATGACTACCTCCGGAGGTCAGGAAGATCTGATCACAATCCCTTCTTTTTAATTGTCTATACCTGTCTAAAAATGTGGGCTAAATCAGAATGTGGACAAGATCAGGATGCATGTTAGCAGCAGGTATAAACAGGGATCAGTTCTCTCCATGTAGCCAAGCAATGAACCACTGCTGTTTGACATCAGTGACACCCTGTGTAGAGCTATGGCATTGCAAGCCACATCCAACCTCCAATTGAGTGAAAAATAAATCTCACCACGGCACATCTTGAAAACACATCTTTACTGCGTTTTTAAAGTAGTACAGACATTTTGACATCTTAGGCCACAGTGTTGGGGTTGATGAGATGGAGAATAACCACAAATTCAAGACCTGCATCTTCCAGGTAGCTGCCCAAGCAGACAACGTTGGTTGGTTAGTGTTGGTTGGTTGTACTGTTTCTGTTAGAAGGTAAAAGAGTTCAGGCGAGGGGTTGCCATGGCTACGTCATCGCCAGCGTCCCAGCGCTGCTCTCGAGTAATGCCCATCGTCATCCCATATTTCCACAACCTCTGGAGAAGACCCACACCTGCTACCAGGTGTACTAGGCTCCAACCTGGTTGAGCCCCCCTCTCACCCCAACCTGCAGGCCCCTCCATAAGGCCCTCTCCTCTGGCCGCTGGGGCCCCAGGTGGTGGAGCCCATCAGGACAGGTTGTCGATGTTGGCCAGGAAGCGCTGGGCCCACCACTCATCCAGATCGATGGGCACAAAGTCTGGGGACGGGGAAAAGAAGGGAGTTAGAGGAGGGCTCAAACATTGGGTTATGGTGCGGCAGTATTCACTTATGGTGCAACAGCATTAATAAGTGGACCTCAACTTTTTTGTAGGGTGATGATGTGAACAAAGTTTAGAAGTACATAATTGGAACAGGTCAAACATTGATGGTGACTATATTTTAGAAAACTAAATTAAGAATTTAGTGGTGAAATTACTTAAAGGTCCAATGCAGCTGTTTTTATCTCAATACTAAATCATTTCTGGGTAACAATTAAGTACCTTACTGTGGCTGTTTTCAATTAAAATGGTTGAAGAGAAACAAAAATAGCAAGAATGTTGCTAGGACTGTCTGGGAGTTGTCTGAGTGGGGAGGGGAAAACTGAAAATTAGCTGTTATTGACAGAGAGGTTTGGAATTCTCTTTCTTATTGGTCTATTATTGGTTGTCACCAGGCAGGCCAAAACAGGCTGAAATTTCAGGGAGTCTTTTCTCATAATTTTCACAATTTCAATTGCACTGGGCCTTTAAGACCACGAACAGTGACTACTCAGAGGTCATATTAGAACGTTCCCAATGTTCCTCAATATGACCTTCCCAATGTTCCCCAATATCACTTTCCCAATATGACATTCCCAATCAGTGTTCTCCAATAAGACTTTCCCAATATCACTTTCCGAATGTTCCCATATATGACTTTCCCAATGTTCCCCAATATGACTTTCCCAAAACGCCTCTTCTCACTGCTAAGAATGAAGACACGATGACTGACAACCCTCCATCACACTGGTTTATGTGGTGGCAGTGCTGTGACCCAACTAGGACAGGGAGCCCTAGCTCTAATCCCTAACACACACAGATGTGACCTGCTGTCCAGGTGACCAAAGGAAGGTGCATCTTTCCATTACGACACATGCCAATGGTGCATGGTAGCGCATACTTTTAGAATTCTTCATAATAACAGAATATAATTAGGGGGTGCTTTTATAGTCCTGTTTCACTGTATAAGTGGGTAACCTTTACAAGTGTGAGGTGTGAAATATAAATGTGTTTTTTGCATATCCCACTCCCCCTGAGACACCCTCGGAGAGTGGGATCACAGCCAGGGGATCAGCCATTATTGATGGGGACCCTGTAACAAACACTTAATTACACAGTACTAATTTTAAAAACAATGGGCTACCTAAAAATACATGATAAAAATGAGGCCTCAATGCTCTCCCTGTCTACTATGGCCACACTTAGGTCAGTCAGTGGTTTAAATATACCAGGCATTGGACACCCTGTTCCTCCCTCTGATCCTCTGGACCAGTCTTTATCATTAGAGTCCCTTTAGATTACTGTCACCTGGATTCATTCAGCCTGATCACTTATGGAAGAAGGGACAATGAGTAGCAGTACAATGTTACAGCGCCTCACACTACAATGTGTAACTACAGTAGTTACATTGGTGTGACTACTGACAAATATTCAGACAAATTGAGAGACATTTTTGGAGAAAAGTGGATGATGGGAGAGAAAAAGAGGAAGGTGTGAAAAGTAAGGACAGAGGAAGTGGTGTAGTGTCAGGGAAATGTAATGAGCGGGAGAGAATGGAGAACAGATCCAGTGAATGAGTGTTTAAGGGATGAGACTGGAGGAGGAAGGTAGACTCAGGTCAGGACTCACTCTTCATGGCTGGGCTGGGGCTGGGGTTGGTCTCTGAATACTGCACTGGTCCCTGAGCACTTCCTGTCTCATCACTGGCTCCTCCCTCCTCCACCTGCTGCACTACCTCCTGCCAGGCTGCAACAGGAACACACAGACACAACCTGGATTCATGCAGCCTTCAGTACAATTGAATGTAGCTTCCTTGGGTTTTCTTAGAAATCTATAGATTGTTCTTAGACATGCTTTAGTTTAACATTGCGAAGTGTGTGCCAGAACATCAATATGCATATAGTACATCTTTACTATGAATTATAAACTGGGTGGTTCCAGCTCTGAATGCTGATTGGCTGACAGCCGTGGTATATAAGACCGTATACCATGGGTATGATAAAGAAAAATGTTTACTGCTCTAATTACGCTGGTAACCAGTTTATAATAGCAATAAGGCACCTCAGGAGTTTGAGGTATATGGCCAATATACCACGGCTAATGGCTGTAACCATCAATATGCATATAGTATATCTTTACAATTAAACATACACCAGCATGCAACAAAATACTACCAGGAGAAACAAAGAAGAAGAATACAAAAATATGAAAGCAGACAGCAATATAGTCAAAATTGGTTAACATACAATGGGGGGAAATTCACCCTAAGAGTCAGTCAGGCTAAAACATTTTGCAGCTTAAAATGTGTAAAAAGGAAAAAACCTTTGACCAACAGTAGTCCTGTCATGTCACACCCACAGTGTAAGGTCCAGTAGGGCAAATGCTACAAAGCATTCTGCGTTTGAAACTGTTTTAAATAATGCACTCTGTCATGTGGATTTATGAGCGTTAAGTCCACTGGAATTAATGGCCAATCTTATCTCACTAGTCCAAATCTTTCAAGTACTAATGTAATAAAATCTTAAGTCAACATTCAAAATGCGGTAGCGTGTGGTAATCAAAATTAACCGGTGTTGAGGAATGAATGAATGAATAAATGACTGAATGATAAAGGCAAGTTTGCGTTACTGTCATTTTACTTAAACATGCTCATGGTGAAGGCAAGATGGAGCTACCATATTAATTATCCAATCCTTTCAGATCTATGATAGGCACCTTTCACCATATGGACCTTCACATGACTTACAAGTGTTGAACCAACATGTTTTCTAATGTTACTGGGTGTAACTGTAGTGGCCTAAAATGTGTATTTACTGGTTAATGATCCTGTAAAACTTGTTGCAATCCCCATTTCTAGAACCTCTCTGTAGAAAGCCTAGTAGGAGCAGGGCCTGCTTTTTGTCCTTGTCCACTCTGAGCAAGGTTATGTAGTTAATGTGCTGCCATTACAAACTTTCAGTTGGAACGACCTAGTGTGTCACATGGGCAAGGGAGAAATTACTTAAGAAGTTACACACGCTGTTTGGCTGGGTAGGTTAGGGTTAATGTTGAAATACAGTATTTTTAAATTAGCTTACTGTGTAGAGTTCCACTTAAGCACAAAAAAATACTAGTGTCTTCGTTCAATTACACTGCAGACTAACTCAGTGATTATCAACACATATTTTGAGAAGCCATTGTGTACTACTTTCATTGGAGGCAGAGTAGATCATTTATACACACACACACGATGGTGCTGGCAGAGGGTCTTCAATTTGGGTGTGAGGTTAGTGGAACTCCAGGCAGCTCCCTGAGCTGTGTGCCTGCTATCACTGGTATCAGCGTCAGTGCAGCTGTGCTGCTGAGCCTGGGAGGGGAGACTAACTTCTGCTCCAACCATGACCCTCACCCTGCCTGTAGTTGGGTGGGAGAACACTGGGGGGGAGTGGTAGAGGAGAGGTCCTACTGTCATTTACATATTTCTATGGTCTCTCACTCCTTTACCTTCATAGATAAACTTGACATTCTCCTGGTGTACAGCAGTAAAGCCCTCATTGGGCTGGGGGTCCACCTGTAGAAGAGTTGGTGGGGTGTGGTGGTACTTCTTCCCATTCAGGTGGTTAAACACTATCTTGGGTGCAGGAGAGCTGCAGGACAAAAAAAATGGGCTTAAACATGAAGCACTTGTTGATTTATTTTAAGTCTACACACAATATACCCATAGACCTGTAGTAAATATGACATGATGAAATGTTCTCTAAACAGTTTCTCTTAGGCATGTTTGCTACTGTAGTTAAAAAGGTGTCATAAATTACTCTGACTCTGCTCTCTCTCAATCATTAATTCATGACAAATGAATTAAAATGTATGTTTCACTCTGAGCAAGGACTAGTTAGATGGGAAGTTAGCCAAATGAACCACATCGGTTACCATACCTCTGAACACAGTAAGGTTTCTATGGTGATTACAAAAGCTCACATTATAAGAAAGCCGAATTGGAGGATGCCATGATGGATATATGGCAGATTGTGCTTCTTGCTTCTCTCCTCGATCAGGACCAAATTAGCAGTGGTAGAAAAAGTACCCAATTGTCATACTTGAGTAAAAGTAAAGATATCTTAATAGAAAATGACTCAAGTAAATGTGAAAGCACCCAGTAAAATACTACTTGAGTAAAAGTCTAAAAGTATTTGGTTTTAAATATACTTAAGTATCAAAAGTAAAAATAATTTCAAATTTTTACTTAAGTACTTTACACCACTGCAAATGAGTGAAATATTGCTAAAGATATGACAAACGCTTTATTGTTGCTGTTTATTTGAAACTGGTTATCTTGAAACTTTGTAAACATGTGTGAGTAGACAGCAGAGAGCAACTACCAAGCTAGCATGTTACTCAGCTAGCATGCTCGTGTTGGGACTTGACAGAGGAACGCTCGTGAGTAACCTTGCTTCCCACACACACAAGGTCGTTTCACGTCCCTGTTCAATGACATAAAAGCAGGTGGTTGTGGTTTGGAAAACACCCGCGAGTGTGTGCCTTGTGATAGAATGTGCCCCATGGATATTAGTTTTTATAGCTAGCTTGCTACTATTGCATGCACAACACAGGCGCACGCGCTACAACAGTGTTGCAAGATGTGACGTTCTGAAACATTCAGAAAATCCTTCACGGCCTGCAGGTGAAGCTATGCCAAACATAATTACAGTACAATAACAGTGCGATTATATGCTAATAACACTGCTAAGCCTATGTACAATGCAATAATAGTACTTACTCTGGTATTGACCAAGTCGTTTGTTTGTGCTTGAAGTCATTTATGTTGTTGTCAATCTGCTGCGTTGGACCTGATATTAAAAAAGGAACTAGATATCAACATTGTACTAAAAAGGAAAGCGATATCAACATGTTAAATTAACCATTGAAAACACGAAACGTATGTTACTGCATCTGAATGAAGCCCCTTTAATGCATTGGCATCAACATTGGCACATGCATAAACCATGCGCAAATATACACTCGTGCCACACTGTAAATGTTAACATGTAACAAGGCATGTATCTAACCTCAGAATTACAATGTATCATCACTTTGATGACAGTGTGAGCGAGGGGTCACTTGCACGTTGTTACAAAAGTGTCCGAATCGGTCTCCTTTGATCCACCACACTCACCTGTTCGTCGCTGTGTAACAAGTTTGCTGGGACCTCTTGTAATTGTGTACATCATGTGCTAGCAAAATCCTAGTGAACTTCAGTATGGCACTTTGAAGTGTCCAATAGACTTTCCAGGCCGGTTATGTCAAGAGGCAAATTGGGTATAGGCACAGTTTATAATGTATAAAACTGTACAATATTTCCTCTCGTGCAATTTCTCGACGCATCAACAATTCAAAAAACAGGTCCGTGTTTTTCCCGTTACAGTGGGCAAATTCCGTTTCAAAGTGATTTCTGCATTTCAACTATTAGAATCTTCTGCGCTGCGAACGACTGGTGGAAACTGTTGGGATAACCTACCGCGCAACAACATAACCATGAATCAAGCTCCTCTTTGTCGGTATAAAATCATTCAAGGTGAAAACGTATCTCGAAACAAACCATTCTAGATTGCTACGTTCTCCATAGGCCATGTGGCAAGAGCTGATCGCCTTGCATCCAGTGTGTGAAGAAGTAGGTAACTTTGGGTTCTTGGGGCTGTCCGAGTCGGTGCAATGTCAGATCTGATGAAACAAGGGCTGTCATTGAGCTACAAAGACACTCAACCAACGCAGCGCACACAAATTTGACAACGCAACACGCCTTCCTCCGTCGTTTAAAGGGACAGTGTCCACCTGACTGTATGGCAGAGGTCAGGCCTGAATATAGGGGTGCAGCATTGCCCCTGTCATCAACGTTGCTCTCAGATATGAACAAAACAGGAATAAGGTGTACCTCCATCATGTATACACAGTGACCTTACAATGCAATCACATACCCACTACAATACTCACTATTCAGCACCAGTCTGCATGCAAATTAGGACAGGGGATATTTATTTTTCCAATATTTACAGTGGGCATACAGTAGTCACAATAAATAACATGGTTTCATAAAGGATACATTGTATATAATAATGTTTTCATTGGGAAATCAAAGATACATGTAAACAAAGAGAGATGTATTTTGTACCATTGTTATAGCAGTGTCATACCGTTAATACAATATTAATGAATGTAGCCTAATCTCCTAATGCACTAAAATATCTGTAGTAAGATGAAAAATTCAACATGGCAAATGAGCAAATTGTCTGCATTTAGTGGTGTGATGGTTGGTCCAAGAGAGTATTTCTGAGATAATGGTGGTATTGCTGGTATAGTATAGTTGTCAAATGAGTGATGATACTGTATGATCTTGTTTGAGTGTTTGCAGTAAAAACTATTCTGGTTAAAAGGGGCAACCTGAACTAGACAATGATCTGCTATCCAGCTATATTGGATGTGTACTGTCCTGTACATTCATACTCCATGTTCATATTCCATATGATATTGAGGTCTGAGTCCTTGTACAACTACGCTTTATTGTTAGGTAGTACTCTATAACTGTGTGTGTGTGTGTATACCCTGTCTCTGTCAGTCAGTAGTGAGGCTCACAGTCTTCCCTCAGGCTGTCAGTGATGTAGCTGATCTTCAGGACATCTTGGTAGTACTGTTTATCCACGGCTGTGTTGATGGTCCAGCCCACCACCTCCACCCCTCGCTCTGCCCAGTACTGAACATAGTCCCTGTAGAGAGGGATAGATGAGGGGAGTGGAGACATGTTGGGTCAGTGGTCAGGGTATCAATGTTTGTTTCAATATTTCAACAAACATCAATATATTATATGAATACAATTGTCCCAATTTTGACCTTCCTCTGATATTAACAAGCAATGATGTGTTCATTAGGGCACACTGTATGTAGCAAAACGTTTCGCAATGGAAAACAAAAATGAGAGTTTCCTGTTGAATAAGTCCAGGTAGTCCCTCCCAGTTTCAGAGCATTTTATTCAATTTCCTCCTTACTGAACACAACCCATGTAACAAACTCACGCCGAGCCACGGCGGTTAGTATTACTCACAGGGAGATGAAGTCCTTCTGCATGAGGATGGCTGAGACACCACACAGGTTCCACAACAGGTGGTGGTGGGCCCAGTCCAGCAGCACGTCCAAAACTCCCAGCCAGTAGTGCGTCCACGCTGACAGGGAACGGGGCGTGCCATCGCCGTAGCGACTAAGGCTCCAGGGCCGGTGGGTCAGGGCCGTGACCACCCTAGGGTCCGCCTGACGCATCTGGAGGAGTTGACCGATGAGGAGGTCAGAGGTGGTGTTATGGTTACGACGACACTGATAACACTCTTGTAATAACACATTCATACAGTGTGTAACTAGCTTGGACCCAGTCCTTTTTGCCAACGATTGTTTTCAGGCCAAACATGACAATGACCGTAGGAGTTGGCAAAACACTACAAACAGATCTGGGACCAGACTGGTGCTAAACTGCACACTAGAGGAAAAACACTACTATAATGAATAGAAGATGACTTAATGTGCACATAGATGTCTCAATTCATATTTACGGTTGAATTTTTACGTTTTTTGCATATAGTAGGGATATGTTGTGTGTTACTGAGTTTAAATGTTGTTTTCGAACAAACTTAAATCTCAAATGAGCAGAGATGTTGCAAAGGTTACCTTGTAGATTACTTTAGGTTGAAAGGAGCAGACAATGCTGGAGTTGTAGAGGACAGGGTGTTTCTGATACATCTCCCCTAGGGCTGCAGCTGCCTGGTGGAGAGAACATCTACATTACTTACTGTCAAACTACATGCAGTGCAACACAAAAACACGTGGGCGGCAGGTGGCCTAGTAACCGAAAGGTCATTGGTTTGAATACCCGAGTCCACAAGGTGACAAATCTGCCGATGTACCCTCGAGCAAGGCACTTAACCCTAATTTCCTCCAGGGGTGCCGTACTACTATGGCTGACCCTGTAAAACAACACATTTCACTGCACCTATCCTGTGTATGTGACAGTACAACACATGATATATCATGGCTACTCAACTACTATTTGAGAAGGTCCGGTCACACCCCTCTTGTTGGCGGAAAGAAAATGTAGCAGTTTTAAGCTAATTACCTGCAATTCTACACATTTTGCCATGGGGCGGAGAGAAAATGGTGCAGTTTTAAAGCAGATTTTCTGCACTTCTACACATTTTGCCATGTCACCTGAGTGAGTCAACAAAAATCTATGGGGGCCCCCTGGGGGTAAAGGCTCCTGGGCACAATCTGGCCATGATAACTACAAGATCAATATAGCTAGTTAGCCTAACTTACCTACCTAGCTAACATGGGCTAGTTGATCAACTGGACATTTCTGACAGGTTATAAATAGCTCTCTGAAATTACAACTCTCAACTGTATTAAATTGAAAGCCAGAGTTTTTTTTTTTTTTTTTGGGACCCGCGCTCCGTATTGACCCCATTCTGGGTCCAGATCTGGACCGCAGTCCGCCTGTTGGAGTATGGCTGTGATATATGATGATCTTAATATGATGATCTTATTGTCAGCAAGTGGCATCTTATTTAAGGCCCAGTGGAGTGAAAATTATGTTTCCTGTGTTTTATATTGTACAACATCTGATGAAACTAACACTGTAAAAGTGTGAAAAAATGTGATCAGTGTTATTTCCTGATAGTTGCTGGTTGAAAATACAATTTTAATGGAAATGTGTTACAGTAAGGTACTTAATTGTTACCCAGATTTGTTTAAATATTGATATAAAAATGGCTGCATTGGGACTTTAATACTATAAAACACTAAAGGGCAGTTTGTTGGACACAGATTAAGCCTAGTCCTGGACTAAAAAAGCTCAATGAAGAATCTCTATTGAAAATCATTTTTATGGGCCTCCCGAGTGGTGCATTGGTCTAAGGCACTGCATCGCAGTGCTAGAGGCGTCACTACAGACCCTCAGACACATTGGTGCAGCTGGCTTCCGGGTTAAGCGGGCAGGTGTTAAGAAGCCGGTTTGGCGGGTCATGTTTCGGAGGACGCATGACTCGTGGTCACCTACAAACAAGCAAGATTTCTGGCACTCACAGACCTGTAACTTCTTCTTTAAGAGGCTCCTCTGTCCTCCACTCGTTACCTGTATTAATGGCACCTGTTTGAACTTGTTATCAGTATAAAAGACACCTGTCCACAACCTCAAACAGTCACACTCCAAACTCCACTATGGCCAAGACCAAAGAGCTGTCAAAGGACACCAGAAACAAAATTGTAGACCTGCACCAGGCTGGGAAGACTGAATCTGCAATAGGTAAGCAGCTTGGTTTGAAGAAATCAACTGTGGGAGCAATTATTAGGAAATGGAAGACATACAAGACCACTGATAATCTCCCTCGATCTGGGGCTCCACGCAAGATCTCACCCCGTGGGGTCAAAATGATCACAAGAACGGTGAGCAAAAATCCCAGAACCACACGGGGGGACCTAGTGAATGACCTGCAGAGAGCTGGGACCAAAGTAACAAAGCCTACCATCAGTAACACACTACGCCGCCAGGGACTCAAATCCTGCAGTGCCAGACGTGTCCCCCTGCTTAAGCCAGTACATGTCCAGGCCCATCTGAAGTTTGCTAGAGTGCATTTGGATGATCCAGAAGAGGATTGGGAGAACGTCATATGGTCAGATGAAACCAAAATATAACTTTTTGGTAAAAACTCAACTCGTCGTGTTTGGAGGACAAAGAATGCTGAGTTGCATCCAAAGAACACCATACCTACTGTGAAGCATGGGGGTGGAAACATCATGCTTTGGGGCTGTTTTTCTGCAAAGGGACCAGGACGACTGATCCGTGTAAAGGAAAGAATGAATGGGGCCATGTATCGTGAGATTTTGAGTGAAAACCTCCTTCCATCAGCAAGGGCATTGAAGATGAAACGTGGCTGGGTCTTTCAGCATGACAATGATCCCAAACACACCGCCCGGGCAACGAAGGAGTGGCTTCGTAAGAAGCATTTCAAGGTCCTGGAGTGGCCTAGCCAGTCTCCAGATCTCAACCCCATAGAAAATCTTTGGAGGGAGTTGAAAGTCAGTGTTGCCCAGCGACAGCCCCAAAACATCACTGCTCTAGAGGAGATCTGCATGGAGGAATGGGCCAAAATACCAGCAACAGTGTGTGAAAACCTTGTGAAGACTTACAGAAAACATTTGACCTGTGTCATTGCCAACAAAGGGTATATAACAAAGTATTGAGAAACTTTTGTTATTGACCAAATACTTATTTTCCACCATAATTTGCAAATAAATTCATGAAAAACCCTACAATGTGATTTTCTGGAGAAAAAATATCTCATTTTGTCTGTCATAGTTGATGTGTACCTATGATGAAAATTACAGGCCTCTCTCATCTTTTTAAGTGGGAGAACTTGCACAATTGGTGGCTGACTAAATACTTTTTTCCCCCACTGTAGATGTCTCAATTCATATTTACGGTTGAATTTGTACGTTTTTGTGCATATAGTAGGGATATGTTGTGTGTTACTGAGTTTAAATGTTGTTTTCGAACAAACTTAAATCTCAAATGAGCAGATATGTTGCAAAGGTTACCTTGTAGATTACTTTAGGTTGAAAGGAGCAGACAATGCTGGAGTTGTAGAGGACAGGGTGTTTCTGATACATCTCCCCTAGGGCTGCAGCTGCCTGGCGGAGAGAACATCTACATTACTTACTGTCAAACTACATGCAGTGCAACACAAAAACACGTGGGCGGCAGGTGGCCTAGTAACCGAAAGGTCATTGGTTTGAATACCCGAGTCCACAAGGTGACAAATCTGCCGATGTACCCTCGAGCAAGGCACTTAACCCTAATTTCCTCCAGGGGTGCCGTACTACTATGGCTGACCCTGTAAAACAACACATTTCACTGCACCTATCCTGTGTATGTGACAGTACAACACATGATATATCAGGGCTACACAACTACTATTTGAGAAGGTCCGGTCACACAGATTTCCTAGGTGGCAAAGGTCCAGATTGATATTGTCTTTATTGGCCACAACAACCACCTCGCGACCCCAAATGGTTCACACCCCTCTTGTTGGCGGAAAGAAAATGTAGCAGTTTTAAGCTAATTTTCTGCACTTCTACACATCTATGGGGGCCCCCTGGGGGTAAAGGCTCCTGGGCACAATCTGGCCATGATAACTACAAGGGGCTTTACTTGGGCTTTACTTGGCTCATCGCGCTCTAGCGACTCCTTGTGGCGGGCCGGGCGCCTGCAGGCTGACCTCAGTCATCAGTTGAACAGTGTTTCCTCAGACACATTGGTGCGGCCGGCTTCCGGGTTAAGCGGGCAGGTGTTAAGAAGCGCGGTTTGGCGGGTCATGTTTCGGAGGACGCATGACTCGACCTTCGCCTCCTGAGCACGTTGGGGAGTTGCAACGATGAGACAAGATTGAAATTGGGGAGAAAAGGGGAGTATTAGGCTTAATCTGTGTCCGGGAAAATGCCTCTAGAGTATTGAATTATTTTTGACTGCTTTGGTCCTCCATATATAATGAGGTCTGTAGGTGACTTTGGCAAATCTAACGCTTACAAAACTGTCAATATGGGGAAGGTCGAAGGATAGTGAGTCACATTGCAAGAGGGGTTGAATTCCTTTCAGACCCACTGTCTGAGGCAGCTGTGAGTTTCTTTATGACCAGTCTCTGTGGTAGGGATTCCTATGTTACTGCCTTAAACAGCTGGGTTTTAACTTGCCTTAATCTCGCTATAAACTCACAGTTTCCTACCATTTCACCTTAAAATTATGTGGTTGTCATTCAAAGTGCTGTTGGATGGTGTATACCAGTGTTTCCCAACCCTGGTCCTCGAGTGCCCCCAACAGTACACCTTTTCCTTGTAGCCCTGGACAAACACACCTCATTCAGCTCATTGAGGGCTTGATGATTAGTTGACAAGTTGAATCAGGTGTGCTTGTCCAGGGTTACAATAAAAATGTGTACTGTTTGGGGTACTGGAGTACCAGGGTTGGGAAAACCTGGTGTATACTGTAGTGAAGCCCTAAGTCTTAAAGCTTTATAGCAGTGATTCCACCTACTGCCTAGAGGGCCCTGTCCAGAAACAACCCCTATAGCCTACCCACTAGACACCTGTGAAGAACTGAGTGTAAGCAATATGGTAAACATTTTACAGAGCCAATCAAAAGACAAGATGGAGCCATCACCATATTGTTTAAACCTATATCCAATCCTCTCAGATCTCCAGTTGTATCTAGGGAGTAGGGGCTAGGGGTTGTTTCTGGACAGGGCCAATACCTTATCAGGTTGATCTTTGACATCAAAGAAGATGGTCAGCTGGTGGTTGATGCATTCCTCCACTGCCTCCTGAAGCGTTGGCACCCTCTCCCCCTTGAACTTCTCCCTGGAGACACACAAAGGCCAGCGGGGACACACAAACGTTTGTACTGCTGCTATATTTGAGACACCACCACTAGGTCTATATCTGGCCTCGTACCATTCACAGTTCACACTCCCCACCAGTGTATTTTCAGTCATTCTGACGCTGTCCTGCTTGAACTCCAACTGAACTCACTGATCACACATGGGGCCATGTTTACTATGCGTTTGCACCAGGTGCTGACCCTACCAGTGTTTCCTAATCTAAAGGAACTGAACAGGTGTAATCCATATGGCGGAAGCTCATCACCATAATATGGGTCACACCAATTTGTTTTCTTTTTAGATCTGCTAACACTGAAGGCGTAACATTCAGGTCAGGGTCATGTTCACTAGGCTATACAACAGAAAATGTTTTGCAACGGAAAACAAAACCAAGTATTTCTTATTGGTCCCTCCCCGTTTCAATCCATTTTCTGCCTAATGAAGTTCCTAATGAATATGACCCAGGAGTTCAATGCTTTTGGGACAGGCCCTAACCTCCCCTCCCCTGCCAAGCCCACCTAAGCCTGTGTCTGCCCGTGGCGTCCAGCGTCCTGAGCTCTGCCAGACGCAGCATGCCCACCGCTCCCGTCCCGTTGGTGGTGCGGTCCACCGTCTCATCGTGCATCAGCACCGCCACTCCATCTGCAGTGAAGCCCAGGTCCAGCTCCACCCCTGTGGCTCCATTCCTGCTGGCCTAGAGGAGGGGAGAGAATGATGAAGCAGGGGGAGGAGGGAGAGAAGGAAGGGATGGAGAGGTGTGTGGAGAAAGACGGGACAGATATAGATCTGAAATGGATAGATAGGCAGAGTAGGGGAGAAGCAGCAGCAGGCTATAAAACCAACTGGGATTGTACTGATCTAGTAGGCCTAGACATTAGCCAAAAGGTGGTTCAAATTAAAGAATAGATAGATACAAAACATTCATGTTCAAGACATTCTAAACTATAACTAACCATAGCAGAATAAGTTAACAAGCTCTATCTCTCGCATGGATTTTGGCCAACAGTGATAATATGAAACGATGTCACAGTACAGACAAGGGATCTCATATGCCTTTCATCAGCCTCTGCTCACTTCACCTGCTGCCCCTAAATTAAATCATTATAGCCTAGTAAGCCTACTCATCATTTTATTTGCAGCTACAGCATTAAATAGGTCAGACAGGGTAGATAACTGATGCTTTGTCCTTGACTCACCTCTCGGATCGCTGCAATGGTGTTCTCCGGAGCATCGTGTCCCCCTGCCCGGTGCGCAACCACGGGGACGCCGGCGCTCGCAAGGCCAGTGGGCCGCAGCACCTGACTCGCCTGGTTAGCCGGCACTTGTGGGAACCGAAACATCACGATAAAGACGTAGATGGATGCGGTGACGGCCGATGCTCCAATCGCGCTCCTGGTCCCGAATAGAACCAGCAGAAATACCGCTGAGAAATAAACTTCGTCTCCAATTTGTAACATCGTTTAGAAGCGTTGATTAAAATGTCTCCACTGATAAAATCAATACATCAATCTACTTGACCACCGAATGACAGTTCCTTGCTGCTGAAATTCCAAGTTGAGACCGAGATGCATGTGTTTAGGTAACTACCAGACACAGCAAAAAAAAAAGACTTCAATTAATCATCATTCCAGACACAACCGACTCACTGCTTCAGCTTCCCAAAAATAAACACACCATATTATTTTGCGCTGGGATGTTGCAGAATCCGAGATTTGAAAGGAGAGCGCATCCGTCGGTTTCTAGTTCATAGTACACGCGGATGTAGAGGTCGTTGCTATGGAGAAGTAGAGAAGAGGGAGAGGTACCACACTGCCCGGGTCTGTACTCCAGACAGCTTCAGTCTGAGCCATAGAAATACAATGAAATAGAATGACAGAAATACATTCTACATTCCTATAATCTATTTCATTCTATTTCTATGGCTAGAGCCATAGTGGAGAGTTTCTGACTGTGGCTATTCACTCATCTATAGATGCTGAACATTACACTGAGGCCAGTTTATTATGTACACCACCCTGTTCACAAAAATGGTTCGCTCCTACAGACATTGAGTCACGTGGCCATGGCTTGCTATATAAAGCAGGCAGACGGGCATCGAGAAATTCAGTTACTGTTTGATAGAACTTTAGAATGGGCAAAACAAGTGACCTAAGTGACTTTGAGTGTGGTATGATCATCGATGCGCGCCGGATCCAGCATCTCAGAAACGGCCGGCCTCCTGGGCCTTTTCACGCAGGACAGTGTCTAGGGTTTACCGGAGAATGGTGCGACAAGCAAAAAACATCTAGTCAGCCGCAGTCCTGTGGGAGAAAATAGCTTGTTGATGAGAGGTCGAAGGAGAATGGCAAGAATCTTGCAAGCTAACAGGCGGGCCACAAACAGGCAAATAACGACGTAGTACAACAGTGGTGTGCAGAATGGAGTCTCGGAACTCACAACTTGTCGGTCATTGTCATGGATGGGCTATTGCAGCAGAGGACCACACCGGGTTCCACTCCTATCAGCTAAAAACAAGCCCCAAATAATTCAGGCTGTTCTGGAAGCAAAGGGGGGTCCGACCCGGTACTACATTGGTGTACCTAATAAACTGGCCACTGAGTGTATGTCACAAATAAAACGTTTTTAGAACCCATACACCACAATAGAGTGCACTTAGTCAAAATTAATAATATTTATCAAAGATAAACAGTGAAGTAAGTCTAGAAATCAAGGCACAACAGAATGAAATATCAACATATTAAATATTTTCTGATAAGAGTTCAATTAATGCACACACTTTTTGAGGAACGAATTAAAAAGCATAGTAATGAACAAACAAAATCACAGAGTACAACCATGTGTTCTGGGGAGATTTGAAAAAGGAATGGGTAACAGTTTTGAGCTCTAAGCAGTTGGACAATATCCTTGTTGTACAGGATACAACAAATTGATACCTGCCTTATTGCGGTTACATAGATACATTGCAATACAATGTGTCAAGTCGTATCTCGGGATGCCCATATCATTGTATCACTCTCTTAGTGACAGCTGTGTGTGTATGTATATACTGTATGTGTGGGTGAGAGAGTCCATGCTGGACATGACCATTTGTGAGAGGTGCAGTTCCAGGTTTGTTTTTCTTGGTATGCCATAAAAATATAATCTATATAATGTCTAGATTATATACAGATATAGGATCTTAATTTGACCAGTATTGTCACATCAGTACATCTTTCCAATACTATGCATCTCTACGCTGAATCATTGCGCAGAGAGTGGATGTGCTGGAGTAGTTGGTCACAGTAGACAGGGCTGCGCTGTTTGTCCCTCACGGCTTCCACTTCCTGCTTAAGGAGGGCTGGGTGGACGCCACTGCAGGTCTTCAGGACCTCTGGACACACAGACAGACATGAGACAGTCAGGAGTCAGGCAGTTGTCATGTTGAAATGGACTCACACACAGGTAAGTGACAGTAGACTATCACACACACACACACACACACAACCTAGAGGAACTCCAGACAAAGGGATTCAACACAATAACAAAGTCAAGATATTGGGGTGGATTGTGGATTAGTCACTAGCTGCAATCATTCATTGGAAATGAAAACAATTACATTCAATGCAATTACATTTTTGAGGACTGACAGTGAAGCAACCACCAGAGAATATTTGCAACGATCCATATATTTTAATAGTAACTTTTGGCAACATTTTTGTACTTGTCTGAGTGATTGACAGGGGAGATGACCAATGGAAGCACAGTTATCACAATCAATATTAGCACCGGGGTTGAAGAATGCAGAGTTTTTTCAGTGAAGTCACATCCAGTGAAACAGAAGATAAGATCTGGTCTCCACATCGCAAAATGAGACCTGGCCCTCCTCATAATCAACAAACCCCCCCACCTTCTTGGGCTTCTCTCTCAGGTGGAGGCAGATCGAAGGCGATGTATAGACCTGGTACCCAATGTCATGCAGTCCCAAAGCCCAATATCCATTATCCAGTTCAGTAACAACATATATTTTCCGGTTGATGGACTCTCTGGCCACTCCTATCCACCAGTTAGTCTTACCTTTCACCTGCACCTCATAGTAGAATTTCCCTGAGAAGCCCTGGTGTCCCAACACAGACCCAGGGTTTGTAAAACCTTTTGGGGTTGTCCGGGACATTATTTTGTCTCCATGTTTCACTTTTCCCCCCGTCCTCAGACAGGATAAGGTATTGCCATGCAGTATCAGGATCCAAAGTCACATCCACTGACCACCGCTGAATCCTCTTCAACATAAACTTCAATTCATTAATATCTATTTTGAAATTCTCAAGTTCAGAAATGTTTTCTTGAATTCTCTGGTATCTTAAAAAGAGCTTGCATCATGATCCCCACACACAGCTCACTGTGAACACTGATCTCAGACCAGTCCCTGGTGTGTGGAAGGGTGCAGAGGGTTGGGAATCTCTGGAGTAGGTGGTCCTCAGGGTGTGAGAGCTGCTCCAGCTCAGTGCCTCTCCTCTTTAGCTCAGTGATTTCCTGCTCTAGCTCTTTAATGAGCCTTTCAACCCGTCTCTCAGTTGCTTTCTGCTTCTCTTCAACCACTGCAATGAGCTCAGCCTGTCTTTTCTCAATGGAATAAACGACTGATGTGATAGTAGACAGGTTGCAGGTTCTCTCTCTTTCTTTCCATCTCTCTTACTGAGCTCTACAGTGTTTGATCTCCTGAATCTTCTACAGTCGCTCCTGGATCATCTGCTGCACTTCTGTCTCCATCTTCACCAGTTGAACCTTCCTCTCTCCACACTCTTCCTCCAGAGGGACGGGGTTGAGTCTTGTGGTCTGCTTTAGTGCAGAACTGACACTCATACGCCTGGTCAGTCCTACAGAACAGATCCAGGGGTCTCTTGTGCATCGTACACATCCTGTCTTCTAGGTTCTGGAAGACAGCATGTGCGTCTTCAGGCCTGCAACTCTCTGATGAGGCTCCAGGTGAGTCTCAAAGAAAGACGTTAGACACTCCAGGCAGGACTTCAGGGCCTTGAGCTTCGTCCCAGTGCAGGCATCACAGGACACTTCTCCAGGCTCGGCATGGGACTCATCTCTGTCTCGCACTCTTAAAATGATCAGCAACATCTCTGAGTGTTTTGTTGATTAAGAGCAGTCTCCTTTAGAATGTCTCTTTACACATTGGACACTGGCAATGTTCAGTGGTATTCCAGTGTCCACTGATACAGGCCATGCAGAAGTTGTGTCCGCATGGAGTGGTGACGGGCTCACACAGTCAGACAGATAGAGCACTGGATCTGATCAGACAGGAGACTGGAGGACGCCATTTCTGGAACATAATAACCCAAAAAGCATATTAGGACTTCCTGGAATGAGTCAGCTCTTGATAGCTTTGTTTACTGCTGAATCTAAACTTGAAATATGTGTGTAACAATTGTTTCCAAACAAATCTTAAGTTTGGATTTAGCCCTTACTGTAAAAGTTGTCACTACAGTAGATTCATACAAATGTAGAGCTATTGATACTTATTAACAGCAGAACTCATTGTTTCCTAGTGTTCAGGTATGATTGTCTTAGCTAAAAGAAATACAGGTGAGAAAAATAGGAAGTAATGGGACTGATCTAAATAATTCACACCTTCTCTCAATTCAATAAACTTAGCTACACTGTCAAAGTAAAGATATAACGATGGCGAAATAAGATAGGAAGATAACAGACTAACAATAGTCATAAAGCAATAATAATCTCTCTCTACTCACCTGAACATATAGAATGTGTGGGTGTCTGGAAGTCTCTTTTAGTTACAATGATAAGGGCCTCTCACAGATGGGTACAACAAAATTCCTTCTGTGACCCTTTTATTCTTCTCCCTCGCCTCGCCTCGCCTCTCCTCTGACTGCTGCCTCTTCATCCGACAGTAGTGATAATACTCAGCCACACCTTGGACTATGACTAGAACTGCTTTACTTTAGGTCTACTTTTACAGCTTTCACAGAGATAAATAATAATAATATAATAATATGCCATTTAGCAGACGCTTTTATCCAAAGCGACTTACAGTCATGTGTGAATACATTTTTACGTATGGGTGGTCCCGGGGATCGAACCCACTACCCCGGCGTTACAAGCGCCATGCTTGTAAAGGTAACATTTCATATATTACAAGTTTAGGTCACATCAAAATACTCCTGTACTGTAAAAACCCATCATATATCAACACTAGCAGCATATTATTAACTCCAGCAATGGTAAAAAGCATTTCAACACATTTGTTGTTTGCAGGCCATGATGGATTACAGTGAATTGTTCTACAAAATAAGCACTTCACTTTTACCACCAGATGGCGGTGTTGCACCACAGTTATATCTACTCCAACAGGACAGATACCACTGGAATTTAATGGTATTAAAGATGCTATGGAATTACTTGAAGTAGTGCCAACAGTAAATGTTGAGGAAACCACATGGCGTAACTGAAGCTGTACAGTGTTGATACCCCTGTCAGTTGGGATGAGTTAGTTCACGTCAAGTCATCATTCGATACCTGTCGGAATGCACTTTGTTCACTTTGTTCCTCAAGTGGTGACCAAGGGGGATTTCTTTGCGATTTGTGTGTATAAATACAGTGGGGGTTTTTCTTTCCCTGAGCTCTTTTGAACAAAGGAGAACAATGATGACTTGTGATGATGAGAGGGGATCCGGTGATTCCCCTTGATGTGTGTGCCAACCGCGGGGCATGTGTGTGTGTGGAGCAGGTAGCAGCAGCCGCGCTCCCAGGGCTGTGGAATTATGGGAGGAAGGAATTATGGGAAGAGGGATGAGAGAGGGGGAGAGAGGGAGGAGGGGCGGTACTGTCCATCATACTGTCAGAGGAGCAGCAGACATCAAGCTCTTGGGAGATGTGACTTTGAAATTCAAGAACCATATAAGAAGGGGATGAATAATAAAAGAAGAGGGAAAGAAAGGAAGAAAGAGAGAGAAGGAAGGGAGGAGGAAAAAAGCTTCAAACACAGACATGCATGAGACAAAGAAGGGGCTCCAGATTTGTGGGGAGGATGGTGGTTATGGGTACGGGGGTACGACACAGCTATCAGTCAGCACTGGGTGAGCTCATCGTATTCCACAGAGGAATACTCCTATATCCTCTCACACACACGTTTACAGCAGAGCAGCGCACGTGTGCACGCATATCACACACAGACACACCGCTATCCGCCCTTCCTACCGGCTGTATCAATCGGCCAGGGTTGGGGTCAATTCAGGAAGCGTTTTCTGAGGGACACTGGAATTTGAATTTAAGGTCACCCCTTGAACTGACTGAATTGAAATGGAATTGACCCCAAAACCTGCTATTAACCCCAACCCTCTACACCCACTCCCTGTACCATCACACCCACGATAGGCAGCTCTTAGCGGGGCTAACGTGAGCCTCCTGCACCCCCGCTTCTCAGGATAACAACCCCCTAATCACAACCACATGGAGACTCCTCTCCCTCATCTCTCCACACACCCATCCCATGTTATCCCCTCTCTTTTATCTCTTCTCATCCCTCTTTCACCCCTTTCCTCCCGGTCTCTTCCTCCTCTCATGCCCAGTGTTTTCCGACAGGGTTTGATGGTTCTGCGGTTTCATGGCTATTTGTGTATGTGTACATGTGTGCATGAGTATCTGTCTTTGTGTGTGTGTGTGTGTGTGTGTGTGCGTGCAAGCAATGTGCAGACGTGTGTGTTATTTATTGGCAGAAAGTCTGAGTGTGTTTCCTGTAGTGTGGAGCTGGGGCCTTAGCTGAGAGCACCGCTGGAGTTTCACTCTGCTTCTCATGGAGGTTCCTCCTTGATTATCTGTGACAAACGGCTGGTGAACGCTGATGCTTCAACCATATTCTCCCATCGTCATATGGATAGAAGAAAAAAACATCAATGGTCTGCATCCCCCAAAGGGCACCCTTTTCCCTTTATAGTGCACTACTTTTGACTAGGGCCCAGGGGGGAAATGACACCCTTTTTCCCTTTATAGTGCACTACTTTTGACTAGGGCCCAGGGGGGAAATGACACCCTTTTTCCCTTTATAGTGCACTACTTTTGACTAGGGCCCAGGGGGGAAATGACACCCTTTTTCCCTTTATAGTGCACTACTTTTGACCAGGGTCCAGGGGGGAAATGGCACCCTTTTTCCCTTTATAGTGCACTACTTTTGACCAGGGTCCAGGGGGGAAATGGCACCCTTTTTCCCTTTATAGTGCACTACTTTTGACCAGGGTCCAGGGGAGGAAATGGCACCCTTTTTCCCTTTATAGTGCACTACTTTTGACCAGGGTCCAGGGGGGAAATGGCACCCTTTTTCCCTTTATAGTGCACTACTTTTGACCAGGGCCCAGTAGTTCACTATGTAGGGAATAGGGTGCCGTTTGGGACACACCCTCGGACTGAGCTGATGCAGCAACAGCTATCATACGGTGGATTCCACTCAGCAGAGTTTGAAACCTTTACCAGAGATAATATCCTTTGTGTTTTGTCTGTGTGTTTGGGTATAATATCGGTAACCTTGACCACAGGATGTTCAGTGGTTGGGATGTAAATCATGTTTATGAACTGACCTTCGCTTATATAGTGTGTGTGTGTGTGTGTGTAGCTTTGCAGGGGTGATGACGGAGCGTCAATCACACACACCCCTCTGTCTCTGGATCCACTCCCGGCCCCGTGATGGACGAGGGGAGTGGTGGTGTGTGTGGAGCAGGGGAGCTTCGCATGGGTCGGCGTGAAAGATGAATGGAGTGGAAAAGGTGGATAGATAGCCTTTGATACGACGGAAAAGGGGGATCTGGTATCCTAGCAATGTGGCTGTGTGTATGGGGCTGTTAGACGTAGGGATCAACTCTTTAAACTCTGACTGACTGAGACAGGACAGAGCCTGTGAAACATGGACAGTACTGCTACCCACCTGATCAACTTCAAGTCACCCTTCATCTCTATTCATGCCCTCCATCATTACTAGTTTTATCATGACCCCTCTTCCTGGTCTAGGGGTTTCATGACCCCTCTTCCTGGTCTAGGGGGTTTGTCATGACCCCTCTTCCTGGTCTAGGGGGTTGTCATGACCCTCTCCTGGTCTAGGGGGTTGTCATGACCCTCTTCCTGGTCTAGGGGGTTGTCATGACCCCTCTTCCTGGTCTAGGGGGTTGTCATGACCCCTCTTCCTGGTCTAGGGGGTTGTCATGAGCCTCTTTCTGGTCTAGGGGGTTGTCATGACCCCTCTTCCTGGTCTAGGGGGTTGTCATGACCCCTCTTCCTGGTCTAGGGGGTTGTCATGACCCCTCTTCCTGGTCTAGGGGGTTGTCATGACCCCTCTTCCTGGTCTAGGGGGTTGTCATGACCCTCTTCTGGTCTAGGGGGTTGTCATGACCCCTCTTCCTGGTCTAGGGGGTTGTCATGACCCTCTTTTGTCTAGGGGGTTGTCATGCATCATCATCATTGATGATGGGTTGATTTAGGATTGGACCAATGTGTGATTGTGAGTCTCACCCAGCACAGTGTCCTGCACGCGGCTGTTTGGGTCGTCCAGGTGCAGCAACAGCTGCTGGAAAAGGACCTCCAGGTGTTGACTGTAGAGCTGGGAGTTGTAGTCCTTCCCCAGGGAGGCAAGCCATAGGCCCAGAGCCCTGAGGGCCACGCCCCTCACCTCGTCACTGCTGTCATCCAGACGCTTCAGCACCTCTGAGGACACAAACAGCAGAGCAAGAGAGGACCGTCTAGAATTAGAATGATTACATCTATTTCTATGGGATCATAATCGTAATCATGGATGCATTCTAGAATGATGTAGAAAGATGTATATGTGTCAGAGGGAATGAGAGAATTGAAGAGAGGATGAGAGAGGAACAAAAATAAAGAAGGAGAGAGAATGAAAGAAAGAGAAATAGAGTGAAGGAAAGAGGGAGAGAAAGACATGTTTGCTCTAACAAAGACAGGATACACAGAGGGAGACACCAGTGTAGTACCAGGGTAGATGTTGTTCAGGGCATCTGGGTGGAGGCTGGGTCCGATCAGTTTGAGCAGGGTGGAGAGAGAACGACAGGCCAGTAGTCTGGACAGCTGAGAGTCTTCCTCTAGAGCAGACAACACCGGGGGGCTCAGCCTCTCCTCTACGGCCAGTAACTACAAACAGAGAGACACACGTTATATACAACTACAGACAGAGAGACACAGGTTATATACAGACAGAGAGACAGACAACACCTGGGGACTCAGCCTCTCCTCTACAGCCAGTAACTACAAACAGAGAGATAAAAACAGACACAGGGCCGGTTCCAGGCATAAGTGACATAGGTGGTCGCTTAGGGACCCCAGCCGCTAAGGAAGTAAGAATAGTAGAATACACCGGGTGCAATATCAGCATTTTTTCTCTTATGTCAGTCACTGACAGTCACTCAACTAGCCACGTCAGCTAACATTTATTTATTTCTTGGTAGTTGGTCTAGCTAGCTATTTAAACGTGTAGTAATCATGGCTGTATACTGACCGGGCACCCAGGGCACGTGCCCAGTGGCCCTGACCTCCAGGGGGCCGGCATTGATTTTGTTAGTCATTCTCACTCAGATAGGCTATCATATTAACATGGCATAAGTCATTACAAAATGTGTAGAATTGTAGGAAATTAGCTTTAAAACTGTAAAAATGTCTCTCTGCCAATGGCAAAATGAGTAGAATTGCAGGATTTTTTAAACAAAATTGCAGTTCTCCCCACCCCATGGCAAAATGTGTAGAATTGCAGGAAATTAACTTTAAAACTTAAAATATTCTCTCCACCGTCAAAAGGGGGGCCACTAAAATGTTTTGCAGCTAGGTGGGGGGGCCCCTCCCAACCAAATCTCGCCATACTACAAACAGAAAACACAACTACTAATGTGCAAATATTGTGTGGGCACTGGGCAGCACAAGAGCAGGAAAGCTGAACTCACATTTCATACATGTCATGTTCACAGGTAGTCACAGTGAATTACTCTAGCACACACAGTAATCCAAAGCACAGTTCTGACACTGGAGACCCTGTTATATAACCAATTGACTTCCCAAACACTTGAAACATAGGAGAAACTGGACAGAGATGGCTGTTGCTCATCATCCCTGGTGACTATGAGCCAGGCTGGGAGTGTGGGAGTGATGGGGAAAACACAGCAGCACGGAGCTGCATCAAAGATCCACCAGCTCATAGATGGACACTGGGCCAGGTAGACCAGAACAGAACACAACACAACCATCCCTGAGCTGGTCTAAGATCACATGAGCTGATATCAAGGTTCTTATCCCCACACCTAATTCAAACAAAACACGAAAGAGAGATTGAGTGGTTGAGACAGAGAGAGAGAAGACAGAGAGAGGGCGAGGGAGAGAAAGAGAGAGAGAAAGAGGGAAAGAGGGAGAGGAAAACAGTGAGTGTGTGCGATAGAAAGAGCGAGTGAGTGAGGGTCAGAGAGAGCGTGCTCGACAGGGAAACAGGGGAGAGAGAGAGAGAGAGAAAGAGAGGGGGGGCTTGGCAGTAAAGTGATCTAACATGACATCAGTGTCTATTTGATAGGGCTGTGTGTAAATGGAGCAGCTAATTGTTTTTACAGGAAGGAGTGAAGGGCTGGAACAATGTTCCCCAGACAAAGCCCAGTTTGATTTGCCTGTGGAAAGGAACACACCCACAGACACACAGCCAGTGTTCTCCAAACTGTTTGTTTTCACCGTTGTTAAACACAATTTTAAAAGCGGTGCAACGCAAAGTGGTGTTTGAGCTGGCTGTGAAACGGTCATTCTGCGCATGCAAGGGCAAACACAGACGGTGGAGTGGGTATGAATATGTGTGAGTGTGACTGGACACGTGGTCCCAAGGGCAGGTGCGGGGGCCTGTCTAAGTGATGGTTGCGGCCCACAACAATGGAACCAGGACAGAGGCAGCATTGTTCCAGTGGGACAAAGGTATGTGAACCCTCCCATCCACCCCCCTCCACCCCCACACACCTGCTGCCTTGCTCTAGCCATGACACAGTCGAGAGAGAGAGAGAGGAACCGAAAAAGTGTGTGTGTGAGTGAGAAAGAGATGGATAGAAAGAGGGAGATGGAAAGAGAGAGAGGGGGAGAGATGGATAGAGGGAGACAGTCCATTACATGAAATGTGTCAAGTGGGACCATCTATATTGAAGGTAAATGGACAAAGCAGGGAAGCGTGCGCTAGATGAACTCTCCTGATGGTTGAAAGAGAAAAATGCACTACCACATATTTCCTCGTACTCCTTACTCACTGTCAAGTGTTTCTGCAGATAGGAGAGGACAGGTCAGAATAAGGGTTTCTGCAGATAGGAGAGGACAGGTCAGAATAAGGGTTTCTGCAGATAGGAGAGGACAGGTCAGAATAAGGGTTTCTGCAGATAGGAGAGGACAGGTCAGAATAAGGGTTTCTGCAGATAGGAGAGGACAGGTCAGAATAAGGGTTTCTGCAGATAGGAGAGGACAGGTCAGAATAAGGGTTTCTGCAGATAGGAGAGGACAGGTCAGAATAAGGGTTTCTGCAGATAGGAGAGGACAGGTCAGAATAAGGGTTTCTGCAGATAGGAGAGGACAGGTCAGAATAAGGGTTTCTGCAGATAGGAGAGGACAGGTCAGAATAAGGGTTTCTGCAGATAGGAGAGGACAGGTCAGAATAAGGGTTTCTGCAGATAGGAGAGGACAGGTCAGAATAAGGGTTTCTGCAGATAGGAGAGGACAGGTCAGAATAAGGGTTTCTGCAGATAGGAGAGGACAGGTCAGAATAAGGGTTTCTGCAGATAGGAGAGGACAGGTCAGAATAAGGGTTTCTGCAGATAGGAGAGGACAGGTCAGAATAAGGGTTTCTGCAGATAGGAGAGGACAGGTCAGAATAAGGGTTTCTGCAGATAGGAGAGGACAGGTCAGAATAAGGGTTTCTGCAGATAGGAGAGGACAGGTCATGAATAAGGGTTTCTGCAGATAGGAGAGGACAGGTCAGAATAAGGGTTTCTGCAGATAGGAGAGGACAGGTCAGAATAAGGGTTTCTGCAGATAGGAGAGGACAGGTCAGAATAAGGGGTTCTGCAGATAGGAGAGGACAGGTCAGAATGGGGGAAAGTAATATACAGTATGCTTCTCTTTGTGTTGTGCCTGTGTGTACACACCTGCATGTATTATGTGAGTGTGTCAGTTCTTACTTGTGCCGTTGTGTGCACCAGTGTCTCTGTGTTTAACTGTACAGGTGTGTACATGTCTCTGTGTTTAACTGTACAGGTGTGTACATGTCTCTGTGTTTAACTGTACAGGTGTGTACATGTCTCTGTGTTTAACTGTACAGGTGTGTACATGTCTCTGTGTTTAACTGTACAGGTGTGTACATGTCTCTGTGTTTAACTGTACAGGTGTGTACATGTCTCTGTGTTTAACTGTACAGGTGTGTACATGTCTCCGTGTTTAACTGTACTGGTGTGTACATGTCTCTGTGTTTAACTGTACAGGTGTGTATATGTCTCCGTGTTTAACTGTACAGGTGTGTACATGTCTCCGTGTTTAACTGTACAGGTGTGTACATGTCTCCGTGTTTAACTGTACAGGTGTGTACATGTCTCTGTGTTTAACTGTACAGGTGTGTACATGTCTCCGTGTTTAACTGTACAGGTGTGTACATGTCTCTGTGTTTAACTGTACAGGTGTGTATATGTCTCTGTGTTTAACTGTACAGGTGTGTACATGTCTCCGTGTTTAACTGTACTGGTGTGTACATGTCTCTGTGTTTAACTGTACAGGTGTGTATATGTCTCCGTGTTTAACTGTACAGGTGTGTATATGTCTCTGTGTTTAACTGTACAGGTGTGTATATGTCTCTGTGTTTAACTGTACAGGTGTGTACATGTCTCCGTGTTTAACTGTACAGGTGGTACATGTCTGTGTTTGAACGTTACAGGTGGTGTGGTCTGCATTTACCAGTGCATGTGCTGTATATGTTTACTTGTGCAGGTACCTGTGTGTGTGTGGTGTGTGTGTGTGTTTACCTGGCCGGGCGTGATGGCTCCCCCCTGCAGCAGGGCTAGCAGACAGCTGAGAGCTGAGGTACGGATAGCTGCAGCAGTACGACCTGCCTTCCACACCAGGTTAGGTAGCAGCAACTCCAGTAGAAACACATCCAGGTGCTCACAGAACCGCCTAGAGAGAGAGAGAGGAGAGAGAGAGAGAAAAAAAGAGATGAGAGAGAGAGAGATGAGACTCGAGAGAGAGAGAGCGAGGAGAGAGAGAGAGAGAGAGAGAGAGAGAGAGGAGAGAGCGGAGGAAGCGGTAGGAGAAGGAAGAAGAGAGGAGAGCGAGAGTGCAGAAGGAGAGAGAGAGAGGGTGGGGGAGGGGAGAAGAGAGAGAGAAGAGGGAGGGAGGGGGAGGGAGAGAGAGAGAGGGAGGGAGAGGCGGAAGAGAGAGAGGCGTGGGGGGAGGGGAAAAGAGGGAGGGAAAAAAATAGAGGGGTGGGGGGAGGGGAGAAGAGAGAGAGGGAGAGATATGGAGAGAGTCTGTCAGCTGTTCCAATGGACTCATTACTACATTATTACACCTATTCTATAGAAGTAGATGTTTTGATGCTGTCTCTACTCCCCAGTCCCCACACTCCAAATAAATTATCTAATAATTCACTAAAAATACCCAAGAAAATCTACTCTCTAGTACAGGGGTATTCAACTCTTACCCTATGAGGTCTGTAGCCTGCTGGTTTTCTGTTCTATCTGATAATTAATTACACCCACCTGGTATCCCAGGTCTAAATCAGTCCCTGATTAGAGGGGAACAATGAAAACACTCAGTGGAACTGGCTTCCAGGTCCAGAGATGAGTTTGAAGGTTCTAGTAGAATGACACTAGTTCCCACACTCCCAAGAAATTCTCTAATGATAAGGAAAAATATATTATTTTCTTCTGAAAATAAATAAATAAGTCTACTCCCCAGTCTTAGTCTCCACACTCCCAATAAATTATCGAATAATTCACTATGAAATTCCTAAGAACTTCACAGAAAAGTCTAGGAATACCTAATATAATCTAACGATATGGTGATAAATGACACAGTCAGTGTACAAATAGGCAACGTCATAAGAGTCAGGATGAGCAGACTGGGAAGTAGCCTACTAGTCCTATGACGTGATGCGATGTGAAAGCACTTGGTGAGGATACAGTAATATAGAGTTACCAGGCAGCTACTGGAGATTACTGTGAGTGCTACACAGTGGCAAACCACTGACACACAGCTGGACCTACGGCCATGTTTCCCATAGCCAGCCAGCCTGTCCACACAAAGTAACACTAGAGGTAGAGAAAGAGATGGAACAGAGTGGAGGACAAGAAGAGGAGGAAAGGACCATCTGGATGTCCTTCATTTCTCCTCTTCTCTAACTCACTCTACTTTCCTGCCAATTCAATCATACTGACAGTCACTCACTCCCCCTTCACTCTCACACACACACACACCTCGTTCATTTATGAGTACGACACCCCATTTCTCCTCGACACTGACATGTGGTATTTGTAAGTGTAAAATCTGGCAGCAGTCTCTATAATCCCTATATACACCCCCATTATGTTTCTGTTCTGAGTGACCCTGTAATACTACACGTTGGAGCGGCCTGTACCATCTCTTCACCAGTAGGGGGAGCCTATCTCCCACTAATGCAGCCAGAAGTCAGTCAGTGGCCTTCATGTGTTCTATTCTCCCTGCTCTCTCTCTGCCCATATGGAAGTGGATGGAAAGAATGCCATGAAGAGTGATGGTAGGACATGGAAAGTCCTCTTTCCACATCGCATTGACCAATCCCATCAATAGCGTGCATGGCGCTCGCAGGCATGCACACAATAAGATATGATCATCAATTTGGTACCCATCACACATGTACAGTCTGACTCAAGACAAGTGTTACCTCCCAGACAGTAACACATGTGCACATGTAAAGGACGTCACGCTGCTTGCTTAGAGTACCGCTTCCTCCTGATTCGGCTCATACCGAGGCCCGAACCCAGGACCTCTGTTTCTTTGCAAGCACACATGACCACCCTCCTGAAGCGTCTTACCAATCGCGCCACGTGAAAAGCTAGCTATTCGGCAGCGCAAGTTGGGACACTTCAGGCTGAGGAGTAAGTTTCACACATCCCCATGTGCTACACACACACTGGATGCTAGCCTGTTGGGTCTCTACACTGCCTAGCTCTATGCTGTAAATCTCAGACAGCAATTACAGACCTTCCTTGCCAACAACACACACCTCTTTCTTTTGAAGAATTACTTTGATTTTATCTGCCATTTTCACAGTGTGTGGGGTGTATTCTTTCTCCCATAACACATTCCTTTCTACTTGTATTTCATCTTAACCTTCAATAGCAGCCCACCTCTCTACTTCTATTCCAACTTCACCTTTAATAGCAGCCCACAGATCCACATGAAACAAAGCCATTATGTGTCAGTGGAACTAAGGCACGTATTTGAGGATACACTCTTCTCTCCCTTCCCTTTTCCTTTCTCTTTGTTCTGCTGCCGACATGTTATTATGTCATTTTGGTACAAAGAGTGTATTATAGAGAGATACTGTGTATCATTATCATTGTCGCCTTGATGAGATGGAGTTTTTGTTTGTGTGTGCTGCACTACAAACTACAAACATTCTACATGGGAGAGACGGTGTGCGGGAAGGTATTACTTAAAAGGGTAGGTAGCATAAACGTAACCACATGTAACAAATGGATTTGCATTAGTATACGCATAAAAAGTCAAAATGCAAAGTTACACCTCACTTTTCTATTTTTCGAAAACCGATCAGAATTCCAAAGAACGCCGAAGTCATGTCGGAAAATGTTTTTCCCGGGGTGTGATGTAATATGGAGGACCCAGCAAGCCAGCCTATTCCCTATAATGTAAACTCCAACAAAAATAACTTAAAATGTATAACTTCAAATTAAACCAACTACTGGTTTGAATTTATTGTTACAAATCAACTTGCAAGGTTGCTAGCCAACTAGCCTGCTAATGTTAGCCCTACTAGCCTGCTAACGTTAGCCCTACCAAACTGCTAACGTTATCACTGAATGAGTCAGCCAGTTGCGATCAACACCTAGCTTACAGATTCATTAAAGTAAACTAAAGTTTTGGAAATACATAACGCCATCTAACAAGTTATTAAAGAATGTTAGCTATATGCAGTTATCTTAGCCAGCAAGCTAGCCAGCCAGCTAACGTTAGCTATTTAGCCAACTAGCTATTAGCCTAGCCAACCTCCACGGTTATGGTCGGCAAGCTAGAGCCCAACACAACACAACCAAAACATAACTGCAGATTAAAAGCAAAGAGAGAAGACATCCAGATTGATGGCTGGAGCTCATCCGATGGTAAAACTTTTTTAAAAGTGCAGGCTGAGTTAGCTACGAAAGCGAGGGGGACGCGGACAAGTCGCTGGGCCGAAGGGAGAGTCAGAGAAATCCAAAATACATTGATTCCAGATGTCTGTCAGCTAGCACAGTAGCACTAAGCCAAGGTGGAAAAAGTTACAAAACTCCTGTAGCCTACTTCACAGATAACATGCTGAAAAGTTGACAAAACAAAAAGGAGACCTTTCGTTATGAGCCCACGGCAAGAAGCCTGCCATGCTAATGGGTTCCCAATAGATAACACTGCCACAAAGTCAGTGAAGAGCATGCTGCATGTGCCCCATCTACTCCTTGTTTACATCACACTTCCTCGTGATTGGTGGATTGTAACTCACCACCACCAACACTTGGTCTGGAATATAATTACATGGTAACATGGCTAGTGGCTAACGTTAGCCAGCTTGAGCTTGCTACCGACCTAGCATACGAACTCTGTAGCACAGAGTAGATCCTCCATATGATGTTGAGAAATAGTGCATTGTGGGTAGTTTAGAAGATATCTGGAATTAAGTTAATAAATATGTAATAACCCAAAAACATAACTATGTTTGTACTTATAGGTATCCAGATCGTGACTACAACTAAGTGACTAAGTCTTTGACCACACATTGGTGAGTAAAAACTCATGCTTCCTACCCTTTAAGTCAATATGAATTCCTCATAGTATAAACTTCCCCTTCTCCCAACATCCAAAGCAATAAGACTTGGTGCCCTTAGATGAAAGGTATTATACTGTAGAATCGCTCACTACTAATCTTCCTATGATGATTTAACTACCGAGGTGCCCTGGGTTAAAAGCACAAGTCAACACTAAACAGCATAGGTGGCCTGGGAGAGGAAGAGAGAGTTGGGGAAGGACAGAGGCAATGCTTGTTGGCTGTTCACTTCATACCTTTATCAACTGGATGTAGGCCTAGCAGTCACATCTTGGAGCTTCGAGTTCAGAATTCTAATCTTTTAACGTCTGAGATCTAGCCTGGGTGTCAGTCTGCTTCTACCAACTCCTTTGGCCAGTTTGGCTACAAGGGTTCCACACCATACAAACTACCAATACCCATACAAACTATCCACACAAACTACCCAGATTGACCTCAACATACCTAGCCATTATGTACACATCCATGGTGACACGCGCTGCACCCAGGGCAGTCACGGTCGACCCTTGGGGACCACACTGACGAGTTACCCCACTGAGTGACGGGGACAACTGTTGCTCCGACCGCAGGAGCCACAGCAGAGACCACAGAGCACACGGCCCCGGCTTAACTTAACACATTCCCCTAGATTAGAGATCAGGGCCAGGGCCAGGGACAGGGACAGGGGGAGGAGACGGGTGAGGCACTGGAGGGGAAGAGGGACAGACTATGGGGAAATGGCTTGGAGAGAGGGGAGATAACAACAGAGATATTCAGGGCCCCAATGATGAGTCTTTCATGTTATTGTCTGCTAATATCCTGGTCTGGATTTGAATGAATGTAATGTGGAATGTGTGGGTGACAGGTATCCTCCCCACAGGTGATTTGGTTGCATTTGTCTGTTTACAATGTGGCTCATGATGTGCAAATCAAATCCTCTTCAGGGCAATACAGGTTTAATTCTGTCATTCATTCATCCGTTCAATCAATCCAATGAATCAATCAATTAGTCTCAATGCTCCATCCCCATAAAAGAGTGTTGAAAGATCACTCTGGGGTGGGGATCAGGCACAGCGTTACTAACTCACTGAGGACAGATAGATCAACCCGAAATCCACCCCCTCCCCTCATCAGAGGCATATTGCTATGTATGTTTCATGTTAGTAGGTCCCAGACGTAACAAGATGCCTGTGGTGGTAGATTCCATCCAGATTAGTGAGACGAGGGGGTAACTGACACCCCCCATGAGTCTGTTCACCATCTCCTCTGGGAGGGACAACATTAGGCCAACACATTTTCAACACATCCGTTACTAGAGGAAATTACACTCATGGTTGTTCCTCCCAAGACCAATCTCCTATAGCAGCCATAGACTCTATATAGCCCAAGCCCCATAGAGAATAAACAGACCCACTGCAGTCTGCAGAGCCTGAGATGGGACAGCTACCATAGACATGCTGTACAGAACACATCATTGACAGCTACTTCTGTTGATGAGGGTCCCATGTCGCTGGGCTGCTAATTCTGCAGTTAATGAGGGGAAGTTGGAAAAACATGAGCTGTGCTAAATCTGCTAATAATGTCTGGGGAGAAACACATAGCGTTCAGTGCAGTTTGGAGAAATGAAAACAAACGTGAGAGGTTTAGGTCAGCATGCACTAACGAGCCTGTGGAAAGTCAACCTGGGCTATACCCCGTCCCGCCTGGCTTGGAGTGTGTGTGTCTGTATGTGTGTGTGTGTGTCTGTATGTGTGTGTCTAAGAGCATTACTAAACTTTTCACCTCTCCTTTACCCACCTTGTGGTATGTTGGGGCACCAGAGGTACTTTCTGTTTTCACTCTGTGACTTAGCTGCGGGTGTAGGAGCTTGGTGTATATAATGCATGTTTTGTGTCTGTGTGTGGTGGTCACAGGTTTGTGTGTGTATGTGCACGCATGTGCGTGTGTATGCATGTATGTGAATTTGCGTGTATGAGCATGTGCGTGTCCTTGCGTCAGTTTGTGTGTGAGTCAGTCTGTGCATGAGTCAGTGTGTGTGTGTGTGGGAGGCTGTTTGTATCAGCCGGTCCCTGTCCCTCCCCTTTGGACCCCTCCATGTTAGCATGCCTGGATAGGTATTTAAGCAGTGTAGTGGTAAAGCTTCCCAATATTGCTTCCACCGTACAGATCTGCAAACTTTGAAGGGTTAGGGCCAAGGGGGAGGGGTAGGGATTCAAATAGGACCAGCTGATTGTGTGTGTGTGTGTGTGTGTCCATTCAGAACTCACCTCTGGGAGTCCAGAGTGTGTGTAGCATCCAGCAGCAGTTTGGACAGCATGGTGAAGATGTGCAGTCTCATCTCAGGGTCTCTCTCTGGGTTCAGACAGTTCTGCAGAAGGGGCATTAGCAAGGGCAGGAACTCTCCAATGACTGGGCCTGAACACACACAAACACAGAGGAATATAAGTCCTATTATTAGTACTACTGACCAGTACTCATGTCAGACAGGGAAAGTTCCAAGGAATGACCAGACTGTGACACACAGCAACAAGGAAATGAGACATGAGTAAAAGGAGTGTGTGTGTGTGTGTGTGTGTGTGTGTTGCCGTAAGTCCTGTTACCAGACAGGGTCACTCACTGGATGGGAAATTCACAGTGAAAGTATTCCCAGCTCACATACACACACTAACCAACTGTCTGTCTGATTATGTGTGTGTGACACGCTGTAGAGACGAGACAGGATATCCTGTGATGCGGAGGGCAGTGGCCGGCCAGTAGAACTGACTGCCTCCAAGAAGCAGATAAAGAGAGGGAGAGAAAGAGAGAACAAGGCAATGGAGGGTAAGGAGAGAGAGAGAGAGAGAGAGAGAGACAAATGGAAAGATGTCATGCAGCAAGAATGTGTGAATCAAAACGGTGCCACAAACATGGTGAAGGTGTCAGACCAGACCAGACCAGACATCTCAAGGCCTCTTCACACAAACACACTGCGGATATGAGAGGGTCAGCTAGGCTGGATTCCACTCAAATGACCCATAGTACACAGCCAGTTGACCACAGTGTCCTGTCCTGCTCCTCTCACCTGGCATTGCGTGGCGTGATGTTGGCACACAGACACAGAGGAGATTTTTTTTTACAGGGGCAGAGGGTGCCAGACCAGAGACAGTGAAGGAACACACACGTATGCACAGTGCACACACACGCAGGGACATTCACGGACAAACACACACACAGAAAAGAGGAGCAATGCCAGTGTGAAGAAGAAAAGGGGGGACAAAGTTTATGTCTGACAAACAGCAGTCAGAAGGTGAGAACAGACTATGACTAAGAGATGGGAAATTCTCAGATCTCAAACAATGACAAATAGATGCCCATATTCCCAGAATGCTTTGGCATAGTGGCCAGAAAGGTGAAAGGTTAACCCCGGAACGGCGAGGGGCTTTGTAGGGAGTATTTTAAAAAGCACCACACACACAAAGACTCTGAGGTTCAAAGTGGCCTTGATGCAAGGGGGGGGATCAGGGTCAAGACGAGGGTCCGCTTTGGTCTTTGGGGTTGTCGTTTGATGTTGTGACCTGGGTGGGGGCTGACCGTAGGCTTAGAATGGACTGGTCAGTTATGACTGGGGGCTTGACTAGAGGACATACTTCAGCTACTTATTGCTGTTCCCATACAATCACAGCAAAAACCTAAAAAAGCTTATGGTCCAATAAAAAAATAGTATCTCAAATACTTTTTCAGTTTCCGTAGAGGGTTCTACATGGAACCCAAAATGGTTCTACATGGGGACAGCCGAAGAACCCTTTTGGAACCCTTTTTTCTAAGAGTGTATAGGTCTGAAGTGCAAGTGTGTGGTGTGAGAGAGAGAGAGACCGAGACAGAGACAGAGAGAGTCAGACTGAGACGGAGAGACAGACAGACAGACAGAGAGAGACAGAGAGAGAGAGAGAGCAATCCGGGATGAAAGAAAGTGTGTCGGAGGTGCTAATTTCAGGCGGATTATGGGGGGATAGGGGTAAAGTAATGCGTAAAGTGAGGTTCAGAGCCCTGTAACCCTCCCTAAACTGGACTGAGACAGACTGGGAGTGGGGGGGATTTACCCTAGTCACTAAGCTAACTGGGCTCTAATGACAAACTTTCTGTGTGTAGCTGGATAATGGCAGGTTCTGTTGCTGTCTTGCCAGAAGACTCAAACTGAATTATTCCGCTGCTATCGTTCGCTACATACTTCAGTCTGAGACTGCCATCATTGAAGACCTTTGTGGTGACATCAAAGTGCGGGGTGTGTACAAAACAAAGTAATCAGCGATTGGATAATCTCTAACCAATTAGAGTATCAAAGCCAATCACGAATTGTTAAAGCGCCGCTTTCCACACTTTTGTTCTGGCTCTGGCCCAACCCATTGGTTTCTGGGACCAATCAGACGGTCTAGAATGGATTTCCATAGTAGAAATCATCGGGGAGGTACTCAGATCCAGACTCATTGGGAAGAAGAATCGAACATCCATGGGCGTGGCGTAGCATTTGGCCGGCGCAAGGAGCTTGGGTAGCCAGCCAAGTTGCTTTCTGTCTGTGTAAGTGTTTCTAAAAGGGGCCTTGAGTCAAAGGTCTTTGATTCGTCTCAAAGTCATACAGTTCTTAAGGGTAGATGACGGCGTAGAAATAAAGTGCATAGAACGGACATACCAACATTCAAACATGGCCCTTTTAGTTCAACAAGATACTACACTGAACAAAAATATAAAGGCAACATGTAAAGTGTTGGTCCCATGTTTCATGAGCGGAAATAAAATATCCCAGAAATGTTCCATACGCACAAAAATCTTATTTCTCTCAAATATAAAATTTGTTTACATTCCTGTTAGTGAGCATTTCTCCTTTGCCAAGATAAGCCAGCGTCCTGACAGGTGTAGCATATCAAGAAGCTGATTAAACAGCATGATCATTACACAGGTGCACCTTGTGCTGGGTACAATAAAAGGCCACTAAAATGTGCCGTTTTGTTACACAACACAATGCCACAGATGTCTCAAGTTTTTAGGGAGTGGGCAATTGGCATGAGGTCTACAGGAATGTCCACCAGAGCTTTTGCCAGAGAATTGAATGTTCATTTCTCTACCATAATCTGCCTACAACGTCATTTTAGAGAATTTGGCAGTACGTCCAACCGGCCTCACAACCGTAGACCATGTGTAACCATGCCAGCCCAGGACCTCCACATCCGGCATCTTCACCTGCAGGATTGTCTGAGACCAGCCACCCGGACAGCTGATGAAACTGTGGGTTTGCACAACCAAATAATTTCTGCACAAAGTGTCAGAAACCGTCTAAGGGAAGCTCATATGCGTGCTTGTCGTCCTCACCAGGGTCTTGATCTGACTGCAGTTCGGCGTCGTAACCGACTTCAGTGCGCAAATGCTCACCTTCGATGGCCGCTGGCACGCTGGAAAAGTGTGCTCTTCAAGGATGAATCCTGGTTTCAACTGTACTTGGCAGATGGCAGACAGAGTGTACGGCGTCGTGTGGGTGAGCGGTTTGCTGATGTCAACGTTGTGAACAGAGTGCCCATGGTCGTGGTGGGGTTAGGTATGGGCAGGCATTAGCTACGGAAAACGAACACAATAGCATTTTATCGATGGCAATTTATATGCACAGTGATACCGTGACGAGATCTTGAGGCCCATTGTCGTGACATTCATCTGCCACCATCACCTCATGTTTCAGCATGATAATGCACGGCCCAAGTATGTCGCAAGGATCTGTACACAATTCCTGGAAGCTGAAAATGTCCCAGTTCTTCCATGGCCTGCATACTCACCAGACATGTCACCCATTGAGCATGTTTGGGATGCTCTGGATCAACGTGTACGACAGCGTGTTCCAGATCCCGCCAATATCCAGCAACTTCGCACAGCCATTGAAGAGGAGTGGGACAACATTCCACAGGCCACAATCAACAGCCTGATCAACTCTATGCGAAGGAGATGTGTCGCGCTGCATGAGGCAAATGGTGGTCACACCAGATACTGACTGTTTTTCTGATTCATGCCCCTACTTTTTTTTTTTTAAGGTATCTGTGACTAACAGATGCATAACTGTATTCCCAGTCATGTGAAATCCATAGATTAGGGCCTAATTCATTTAAATGTACTGATTTCCTTATATGAACTGTAACTCAGTAAAATCTTTGAAATTATTGCATGTTGCGTTTATATTTTTGTTCAGTAAATCTAAGTAATCAATCTATGATGGTGGCCGTTTGGCTGATTGCTCCCAAATCATAGGAATCCCCACCCAATTGACTACTTTAAAATGGTAGATGCCCTAAATGGCAATATCCACACTAAAACGGGTTATATCCAACTCCAATATAAAGTTGTTTTTGTCAAAGTTACGTAAATGCCACGAGTCCACTTATATCAGTGAATCCAATTTGTAAGTCGCTCTGGATAAGAGCGTCTGCTAAATTATGTAAATGTAAATGTGAAATTCGTAACAACCTAACCATTACGAAACTTCTATTTGATCAAATAAGCATCACTTAGCAAACGATCAATTTTTTGTTGACCAAATTTGACACCCTCTCATTGACCTCCATACAAAAATCCCACCCTCGTAGGCTTATTTTCATGGACATATTTTGGGCGGAGTAAAACCTCTCGCTTCGCCTCTTCCTCTCTGCCTGTAGTCTCACATGATTAGACAATAATGTGGCTTTAGTCTCTGACTGGCCAGATATGACTGATAGGACAGTAATGTCTTGGTTACAGATTGGTCTCCTGATTGGACAGAGATGACCTGTAGTCTCACCTGATTGGCCAGCAATTTTTTTATATATTTTTTTTATTTAACCTTTATTTAACCAGGTAAGCCAGTTGAGAACAAGTTCTCATTTACAACTGCGACCTGGCCAAGAAAGAAGTGCGATAAAAACAACAACAGAGTTACATATGGGGTAAAACAAAACAAAGTCAAAAAATACAACAGAAAATATATATACAGTGTGTGCAAATGTAGCAAGTTATGGAGGTAAGGCAATAAATAGGCTATAGTGCAAAATAATTACAATTAGTATTAACACTGGAATGATAGATGTGCAAGAGATGATGTGCAAATAGAGATACTGGGGTGCAAATGAGCAAAAATAAATAACAATATAGGGATGAGGTAGTTGGGTGGGCTAATTACAGATGGGCTGTGTACAGGTGCAGTGATCGGTAAGGTGCTCTGACAACTGATGCTTAAAGTTAGTGAGGGAGATAAGAGTCTCCAGCTTCAGAGATTTTTGCAATTCGTTCCAGTCATTGGCAGCAGAGAACTGGAAGAAATGGCGGCCAAAGGAGGTGTTGGCTTTGGGGATGACCAGTGAGATATACCTGCTGGAGCGCAGACTACGGGTGGGTGCTGCTATGGTGACCAATGAGCTAAGATAAGGCGGGGATTTGCCTAGCAGTGATTTATAGATGGCCAGGAGCCAGTGGGTTTGACGACGAACATGTAGTGAGGACCAGCCAACAAGAGCGTACAGGTCACAGTGGTGGGTAGTGTATGGGGCTTTGGAGACAAAACGGATGGCACTGTGATAGACTACATCCAATTTGCTGAGTAGAGTGTTGGAGGCTATTTTGTAAATGACATCGCCGAAGTCAAGGATCGGTAGGATAGTTAGTTTTACGAGGGCATGTTTGGCAGCATGAGAGAAGGAGGCTTTGTTGCGAAATAGGAAGCCGATTCTAGATTTAACTTTGGATTGGAGATTCTTAATGTGAGTCTGGAAGGAGACTTTTACAGTCTAACCAGACACCTAGGTATTTGTAGTTGTCCACATACTCTAGGTCAGACCCGTCGAGAGTAGTGATTCTAGTCGGGTGGGCGGGTGCCAGCAGCGTTCGATTGAAGAGCATGCATTTAGTTTTACTAGTGTTTAAGAGCAGTTGGAGGCTACTGAAGGAGTGTTGTATGGCATTGAAGCTTGTTTGGAGGTTTGTTAACACAGTGTCCAATGAAGGGCCAGATGTATACAAAATGGTGTCGTCTGCATAGAGGTGGATCTGAGAGTCACCAGCAGCAAGAGCGACATCATTGATATACACGGAGAAAAGAGTCGGCCCAAGAATTGAACCCTGTGGCACCCCCATAGAGACTGCCATAGGTCCAGACAACAGGCCCTCCGATTTGACACATTGAACTCTATCTGAGAAGTAGTTGGTGAACCAGGCGAGGCAGTCATTTGAGAAACCAAGGCTATTTAGTCTGCCAATAAGAATGCGATGTGCCTATACGCTCACCTGATTGGCCAGCAATGTGGCTATACGCTCACCTGATTGGCCAGAGATTACCTATAGCAGAGCTCTCCAACCCTGTTCCTGTAGGTTCTCTCCAACCCTAATCTAGCACACCTGATTCTAATAATTAGCTAGTTGATAAGCTGAATCAGGTTAGTTACAACTGGAGTTGGATTGAAAACCTACAGGAGAGTAGCTCTCCAGGAACAGGGTTGGAGAAGCCTGACCTATAGTCTCACCTGATTGGGTGGCGATGACCTGGAGCTGCAGTCTCTGGGGGGTGTAGCTGGTCCAGGTCTTCTGAGAGGCTGAGAGCCACTGGAGCAGCTGATCCATGTGCTGCCTGTAGAGGTCAGCTACTGTAGCCAGACCCTGGACCTTACACAAAGACACTACACTCTGCTCTGCCTGAGAGATGGAGAGATGGAGAGAGAGAGAGAGAGAGAGAGAGAGGAAGGAAGGGAAGGTGAGAGAAAGTGATCCCAACACATTCCATAAAGTTCAGATTACATCCGGAAACAAAAGCATGAACAGTAAGGTTACCATGGAAAGAACATTTTCCCAAAGACTCACACACTGTAAACAATGTACTTCACATGCTCTTAGTCTTAAATATCAAACCACTCCGATGCAAACACTAACACATATACCCATACAGAAAAGCAAACCGGAAGCATTCACACACATCCTATAGTCACAATAAACATCAACGGAGGGGTAATGAGCCGAGTGAGAGAGAAAGGAGAGTAAACATAGTGTTGTCTCTTCAGGACAGAGGAAGTGACCTCGAGGGGCGAGTAATGGTCCCCCTTATGGCCCCCTTGAGGGGAGGGGGGGGATGGACACACAGACGAATGGACACTAACTGTCTGACTGACTATCCTCTTGAGTCAATAGTGTTAACCATCTAACTCTCCCCCCCAACCCTGACTGGAAGCAAGCAAAGCTCCTTTTCTAGGAAAACTAACATTGCCATTCCCCCTGGGAGGTGGAACAGCATCGGGGAATGCCCAAGGCCATGCTCACCCCCCTCTCTTCTTCCCCCCATTCTCTCCCTCTCTTCGTCCCTGTCCCTATTCTTCCTCCCAGTTCCAGACAGGACACAGTTTCTGCAGACAGACACACAGACAGTCAGACATCGAAGGCCACAGTGGTCAGTCATTCATCCGTTGGCCAGAGTGCAACTCCACTTCCCGCTCCTCTGCTCTTAGACCTGTTATTAGCATACACTCCAAACAGACAGACATAAGATGTAACACAGGGCTTTTACAATCTGTTCTGTTTCCTCCTCCCCTTCTCTTTGTTGTTAAGTTTTATTCTGGGTTAAGTTAACCACACAATGAGTGTCCTTCGCGGCAGGATGGTGCTCGCGTGGCATGTAATGGCAGTATGCGTGAGGAAGGACGGTGCTGGGGCTGATGACACACCTGCTGACTCGCAACACGCCCCCCCCCCCCTCTCTCTCTCCCTCTCGCTCTCTCTCTTCTCCAAAACCGCCTCCTTTCACCCTCGGCAACGGTTTAAACTAGTTCCACTCCAAAGGTGCAATTTCTGACTAAATGGGTAATTACAGTAGACTGTTGAGTTCCACTGTGCCCACTTTGAACCAGGTCTAACGCTTACATTCTTCGAATAGCTTCTCTGGCCCGATATAGAAAACATGCTTACAGTTCTAATATAAAAGAAAGAGGGCAGGGAAAAAGGGTAAAACCACATGTCAGAGCAGAGAAGGAGAAGAGTAGTTACACAGGTGAGGTGGATTGTGGGTTATAAACGTCGAGCCCACAGGGGAGGGGGAGGCCTGCCTGGGATTGCTCGTTAGAGACACTGGGTGAGGCTGTGTGTATGTGGGTCAGTGTGTGTGATTATGTGTTTGTGTGGGTCTTACCTGGGCAGTGAGCTAGGGTTTGATGTATGTGTGTGTAGACATATGTGTGTGTGTGTCCATGCACGCATGCTGGTTTGTGTGTTTGGGCGTGTGCGTCCATCTTACCTTGTCAGTGAGCTGTGGCTCAGTGGAGAGGCTCTGGACAGTAACCAGCACCTGTAACAGCTGTAGACTGATGGAGCAACAGTCCTTCGCACACAGAGACAACAGAACATCCACACAGGACAGCAACTGGTCCAGATACACCGACTGGGAGAGGGAAGGAGAGACTATTATAATTCATCCCTTTATTGGGTAAATATCATACATTATACAAACACATTTAAAAAAACATATCCGCCCTCACATATTTACACCTGCAAAAGGAGAGACACTGAGACAGAAAGAGGGAGACAGAGGGAGAGAGATAGGGGGAATGTGCAGATTGAGGTAGAGAGAGAGAGAGGGGTGAGAGAGATAGGTACAGAGAGAGGGAGAAAGAGAGAGACTGTGCGGTGCTACAGTCTGACGGTGCATGAGAAGCCCCTGACCTCTGTTCCTCATACTGTCATACTGTTATATGAGGGAAAAGTCAATGATGTGACCCCTCCTTTCACCACCAGCCTAGAAGCTAGATTTCTTTTCTCTGAACTCTATCCACCCTCTCCCCTCTTCTCTATCCCTCCTTCTGTCTCCCTCGCTCACACTCCTCTCCATCTGCTCCCTCTCTCACGACACGCCATCCTCCCATCCTCCCTCAGTTCTCATACACTCCTTCTGTATTATCTACTCCACATCACCAAACCACAGCGGACCAGCCCTGTGAAGGATCTCCTATTGTTTTCAAATCAATCAAATAAATGCCATGAGATATTCTTTCCATCTCTTCATTTGATCTGGGTCACTCCTCCATTCCTGTCCTTTTCCCTCTGTCTCTCTTCCCCCTCTCCCTGTCTCTGTGTCTCACTCTCTCTGTGTGTCTCACTCGCTCTGTGTCTCTCTCTCTGTGTGTGTGTCTCTCTCTGTGTGTGTGTCTCTCTCTCTCTCTGTGTGTGTGTGTGTGTCTCTCTCTCTGTGTGTGTGTGTGTCTCTCTCTCTCTCTGTGTGTGTATGTGTCTCTCTCTCTCGCTGTGTGTGTGTGTGTGTGTGTGTGTGTCTCTCTCTCTCTCTCTCTCTCTCTCTGTAGGGTGAGTTCATGTTTAGACAAAGGCCCTCCACTCGGACCAATTTCCATGCCATCACCGGGAGCACGGCCTTGTTTCCTGTTTTGTTGTGGCCTGTCATTAGAGAGGAGGGAGGGAGGGATGGAGAGGGGAGGCAGCCTCCAGGTGTTTGCTTAGGGAGAGAGGGGGTGTATTAGGGAACGTAAAGAGACGGCCAAGAGTCTGTGTGCATGCACACGCACACACCTCATCCCTCCCATTCTCCAGAATGACAAAACGTCTGTCCAGTGCTCAAAGCAGGCACTAGAAGGAGCACAACACTGTTTTTTAAATTTATTTTACCTTTATTTAACTAGGCAAGTCAGTTAAGAACAAATTCTTATTTACAATGACGGCCTACACCGGCCAAACCCGGACGACGCTGGGCCAATTGTGCACCGCCCTATGGGACTCCCAATCACGGCCGGTTGTGATACAGCCAGGAATCGAACCAGGGGGTCTGTAGTGACGCCTCAAGCACTGAGATGCAGTGCCTTAGACCGCTGTGCCACTGTCTTCCCCAAGCAGCCATAGAGCAGCATGCCACTTCAGTGGGAAGGAAAAGAGAGCAAAGCTAAATAAATAAGATGGAGAGCAGTGAATCTATGACACGGCTAGAGAGGAGAGACTAGAGGGTCAGGACTTCCAGGGCTGTGAGAATAATGTGTTTATTTTACATCAGTGAGCTAGGGGGTTAGACACACATACTATGGATGGACGCGCACACGCACATTATGCACGCACACACACTTTTGACTCAGGGGGTTTGGAAAAGGCTTGTTATGTGTGTCTGGACCCGACCTGTTTGTTTGTCCTGCGAGGCAGCCTAACAGTGAGTCAGGTTTGATATTTTAAAAGAAAGTTAGCACTGAGGTAAACCTCTGCATCCTTTGTCCCCCTGTCTGGCCTGGGCATCCCTGGGGGCTTCCCCCTCACCTCTCTGGGCTTGTGACTCAGTTCTCCCCTCCCCTGCTGTGTATTACTCACTTCACTCCCCCCTGTGGAGTGTGGACGTGCTCACAGTGGGTGGTGGGGATCCCCATAGAATCTCTAGTCATTGTATTTCTGTGGGGATCCCCCTCTTTACAGCTCAGCAGCTCACAATCATGGGAATAAAGCAGCGACACTGTGGGGTTTTCACTCTGGTCTGGTCTGTTCTCTGGTCTGGTCTGGTTTGTTGTGGTCTGTTCTGTTCTGGTCTGCCACAACACCCCTAGGTAGGCAGCCCAAGGATGCTGTATGGAGACACCACCAGACGTTTAACATTGTAACACACAGGCTCACACTGACACCAAAACAGCCATTAGTAGGTCTGGGAAAGGAGAGGAGAGGAAAGAAAAAGTGGTAAAAGTGGCGTAGTGCTTGGATATAATCATGTTAGACACACCTGGAGCCTGGCTGGTGCTCGACCTGGTGCTGTGGCACTGCACACGCCACGGGGCCTCGTAACACTGTGTGTGTGTGTTGTCTGTGTGTGTGTGTGTGTCTGCCGCAAATACACACTGACATACTGAGGTAGTTGGAGATTCATTACCCCCCCCACAACTTCTACCGTTGTCATAGCAACGGGGAAACTGATACACCCCTGGAGCTCTGACCCGGTTGTGTCAGTCCACAGGTGAGGCGGCAGCCACGCGTACGGTAAGCCCAACCCATCACCGCACTCCTCCGTTCTCACCTTTCTTTCGTCTCCCTTTCAAGAGCGAGATGAACAGGCCACAGCTGTCAGCGGCCATGACATCGGACAGAGGAAACATGTCAGAGTGTGTTTGTGTTTTCAGAGCGACAGAAAATTGGCCGACATGGCGTCACCACTTCACGCAAAAGACAGACACTCCCAAGTCTCTCGGCAGCATTTGCACACAAGACAAGATGAAAGAAAACAGAGCCTCATCTCTCCTCCGCTACTGTGGGTCAGCACTTTTACAGTGCCTTGCTGTGTAATGTTCTCTGTCTGTTAACTACGTGGTTGTAAATATTCCTTCCTTCCCTTCACCTACGGGCCTTTCTCTCTCGCTCGCTCTCATCTGCCTGTTTGCTTTAGCTCTGCAGATGTGAGAATAGCTCCGTAGCCACGGCAACAGCACAACAGCCCTCAGCTGTAGAGTGAGATCGTGTGTCTACACGGTGTCAGGAGGTTTCTATTATGTATTAATATCTTAATGTCTGTGTGTGTGTGTTTTATGGTATGTCCTATAACTACAAGTGCAACTTGTACAACACGGAAGCTTAACTAACCAACACTCCTTTCAACTCCTCTCTGCCACAGTGATGTCATTGTATGAATTGATAAGAGGGGGAGTTTTGTTATATAGTTCATTGTTTGGGGTAAAAACACTAAAACAGGCCTTTGAGCGAGTAAAATAAGTTAAGCGGTCCCAAGCACTATATCAGTGTCCACATCTTCAACGGGCTCCACCACTCTCTCGCTCTCTGCCGACCAGCGTGGTTTTCGCTGTGACTTTGAAGATTATTTATATTATTATTTTTGTCCAAGTCAAACCTCTCGCTCTCTTGCACAAAACTCTCTAAAGTTGTTTTTATCTTCTGAAGTTTACTTTGAAAAGCATAGCATCTGAGTCTGCAATTTAGGTCTTCTTTTTTACTTTATCTTAGCACCACAGCTGCCCAATGTGCCCATATGACATTTTCCCCTTGCTTGTCTAAAACCATATCAAAAACAACCAGTTAGTCCAACAAGCAGGATCACTGTGGCTACTGGCTAACCTTCAAACAATCTGTGTGATGACTGTGTCTCTCTGAAGTTCATGTCAGTGTATGTGGGACTGTCTGTGTGATGACTGGGAAGGGAGTGTGTGTGTGTGTGTGTACACCTGTCTTTCTGTCTGTCCGTCTTTGTGTCGGTCTGTCTGTGTGCACCTGCATGCTTGGTGTGTGTTTGTGTGTATGTCTGCCTACCTGTCTTTCTTTCTGTCTGTCTGTTCTGCTCGGTGTGTCTGTCTGTCTGTCTTTCTGTCTGTGTGTCTGCTCTGTTCTGTTTGTGTGTGTGCTTGGTGTGTGGGTGTGTAACTGGGTCTGTATGTCTGCCTGTGTGTGTGTGTGTGTGTGTGTCTACAGGAACACAGATGCTCCTCTCCCACCTCTCTCCCTCCTCTCCTGTGTTATTTACAGCCCAACGGTGGCCTGCCTGGCCCTGGACCTCTCTGGTTTGGCCCTGCTCTGTGTGTCTGGCCTGGTTGTTTTCAAAGAATGCTGCAGGTGTGTCGGTCTGTACTGCTAACCCTACTCTTTAAAGGGGAATTTCAAAATTGTCCAACTTAATATTCATCATCTCCAGCACCACCCCAACATCAACATATGTGAAAATGGCATGTTTCTATGCTTTGTAGTAAAAATGATAGAGGAACATAACAAATGACATCATTGGTGTGCGTCTTGTGATTTTAACCAATTGTGAGGAAGCATTGCCACTAATTGTCTACCAATCTTTTTTACTACAAAAAATAGAAACGCGCCATTTTCACATATGCTAATGTTGGGGTGGTGCTGGAGATGACGAATTTGAAGTCGAAAATTTTTGAAATGTCCCTTTAACTACCCAGCCAGCACTGTACCACTAACCCTGCTCTTTAACTACCAAGCCAGCACTGTATACTGCTAACCCTGATCTTTAACTACCAAGCCAGCACTGTACTGCTAACCCTGCTCTTTAACTACCAAGCCAGCACTGTACTGCTAACCCTGATCTTTAACTACCAAGCCAGCACTGTACTGCTAACCCTGATCTTTAACTACCCAGCCAGCCAGACAGCACTGTACTGTACTGCTTCCCCTTAGTACCCACTGAGACTGACTTCTAATGATCTTTATTGAGACAGACAGACCAGGGACCAGAAGGTCTGTCTCCATCTGTGTCCATCGCGCTCTGGCTTGACCCCAGCTAGAGGTGGGGTGGAGGGGGACAGAGAGGGGGATCCGTTTCCCCTCCTGTATGTCTGTCACCAGGACCATAACACTGACCCTCTTTGAAATGTTGTAATCTCAGGGCTTTACTTTGCACTGTTCCGCACACAGTGAGTGTTGAAAAGTGGCTATAAAAAAGTCAGACACGCAGGGGTCAGGAATAATTAGCATTTTATTATCATCCCCTCTAGAGGAAATTATTTGGGGCCCCACTGGGGGGTTCTCTCTCTCTCTCTCTCTCTCTCTCTCTCTCTCTCTCTCTGTGTGTGTGTGTCTCTGTCTCTCACTCTCACTGGTGAACCTCCTGAACTCACAGCACAGTAATCCCTATAAAAGCTTTTACAACGGTCCTGATAGAAGAAATGCATCTTATCTTAATATTCTTTCACTTTATGGAACATTTCACTGTAAACAGTTTTAGGGTCAAAACTAAGTGCCTCAGAAAGGGTAGTGTTTCATCTGTCGGTCTATATACTTCACCAGACCTGGCTGGAGACTCAAATATAAGATAACATAGAGGAAACATCTCAACCAGATGTGAACTATCATAAGTTACCCCTAACCGCAGATCTATGATCAGTTCACCCTACCATTACCCCCATCATTAACAATTAGTGTGGATAATGACATCTGATACTGGACCAGTAGTTATGGCATTTACCTTTTCCCCCAATTCCCAACCCATAGGTCATACCCATAGGTCAAGGGCCATAGACTCACCTGCTGGTACTCCTGGCAGACGTCTGGTTGGACCAGTGTATCAGCGATCTTCTGGAGGTGTGGTTTCAGGAGGTCCCCGGAGCAGCCCCCCAGTACTGCAGCCAGAACCATGAGGGGGGTATGGGGGGAGGAGGAGGGGGTCTCCAAGTGGACCAGGAGCAGCTTGAGGAAGACCTCGGGGCTGACAAAGGTCCCCAGCAGCTTGGCAGACCTCAGACACTGCAGAGAGAGATCGAGAATACTATAGTTTATAGAATGATTTGGCAATATTACAGAGTGTATTTCATGCCAATAAAGTACCTTGAATTGATAGAGAGAGCAAAGATTAGCCATAGAGCAGAGAACGATTGTAGAGAGAAAGAGAGAATGAGATAGAAAGATAGAATGAAAGAAAGGACGAAATAAAGAATTCAAGATAACAGAAGACCACAGAAGAGTACATAATTCATAATCCCTTATCAGCCAGTGGATCAGAGGAACCATCAAAGGCTTCCTCTTGGGGCAGGTGCATCCCAAGTCCTTGGGCCCAACCCAACTATCTCAGGGCTATAAGACACATACATCACTACTGCTATTCACTGCTGTCTATTCTAAGGCCAGCAGGTGTGTCCTCTCCTCTCATGACATGACCATCAAGATCAAGCCATTCACCACAGCAGCTCTGAAACATCTGTTTCTGGGTGGAAAGAATGTCAATGGAAATAGCACATGGGCATGACAATAACGGAAATAACTTAAAGGAAGGAAGGCCATTGAGCAGTTTGTTAAAATGGCGCCCAAATGATGGTGCATCGGTCTACGGCTTGCTTCGCAAAGATCTGTGGAGTGATGAACTGAAGTAGCCAACATACAGGTACTGTAGAGCAGATTTCTACGATTATCTTATTTATTTAATGGTGATTTAACCTTTATTCATCCAGGTTAGTCACTACCATCCAACCATTAGACCTACCACTACCATCCAACCATTAGACCTACCACTACCATCCAACCATTAGGACTTCCACTTCCTGACCTGACCACCCCCCCCTAGGATGAAATAAAGGTTAGTGCTATCCAGAATCCTTGGGACGTCCCTACCCTAAACATTTTACATTTCATTTTCAATGTGGTAGGGACGTCCCATTGGATTACATAGAACACATCGTGATAGCATGTGTCTCTATGTCTCGACCACTCACGTTGGTGACCACGTCCCTCTCAGGGTCGGTGCAGGCGCGGTACAGCGTGGAGAGCAGCAACTGCAGGTGCTGGGTGCAGTGGTCCTCAGCATGCAGCAGCAGGGCATACAGGAGCTGGACCGTCTTGACCCGCGTGCCCACCACCCAGTCGACCACGTCGCGGGCCAGCGCCGGCAGCAGGTTGGACAGGTTCCTCACCACCAGCTCCCTGCAGCCCAGGCCCGGACGCTCCACTGGGAGGGAGGGGGAGGTGGGGGAATTTAAGGTTAGAAAGTGCATGAAAATGCCTACATGCATTAACCTACTAAAAAGCACACAAATCACACAAATGGATCAATTAAGATATACATCTAAGGCTGCGTTTGCACAGGCAGCCCAATTCTGATCTTTTGCCAAAAGATCTGATCTGCATGATTGGTCAAAAGACCAATAATTTTGCAAAAGAGCAGAATTGTTCTGCCTGTGTAAACGCAGCCTATACATCTACATCTACTGTATATATCTACAAGTGCTAATAAGCTAACTGTGTTGTAACTGTGTTATCCTATTTCTAACTGTGTAATGGAGATAGCGATAGAACAACTGTTCTATAGCCCTCCGGCCCAGTTATGCTGATGGAGCATTTTAGAAGATTTATTTTCAACAAAACACTTCACATTAGGCAAGAAGGGAACATAATTTGTTGGGTGTTTTCTGCTGTCCTAATGGACTGCATCTACAGTCTAAGTCCCATTTTCCAGACATGTACTTTTTGGTTTTACGATTGAGATTTCCTCTCCGGGGGACTTGTCAGAGCAAGTGGAACACATTTTTAAATGAATAGCCCTCCACATGCTTCATCCCTCTCTCTCTCCCACCGTCCTTCCCTCCCTCCCTCCCTTCTGTAGGATGCTTCAATCCTACAGAAACACACAGGACAAGACAAAACAAGCTGTTTCTGGTTGTCTCCCAGTTGTCTGACACTGACCTTTTCAGACAGGAGTGGGGCCATGTTGGATTTATGACTGGCAGGGAGAGAGAGAGACTCATCTCTTTTCCTGTCCTAGAGCCAGTATCCATTAGCATTATCACCGTGTGGAGCTGGAGACTGACCCAGATCTGCACTACACAACCAGACGGTCATGTTCATTAGGCACCAAACGGATGAAAACTGACTAAAACAGAAAGGGACTATTTGGACTTGTCCAATAAGAAACAGTAATTTACCATTATCAGTTGCAAAACGTTTAATGTTGTATGCCCTAATGAACACCACCCAGGACACATCCTGGTACTCTCCACTTAGCCTACCTATGGGTAGCAACCAGGGTGACCACATGTTCACATTCAAACTCATCCTCAGCCCCGGGCCTGGGTTATCTACCCCCGCCATCGCAGCAGCACCTTCCTATATCTGAGCCAGCTACACGGTCATTATTACTGCTGCCTGTCCAACACTGGATTAAAGCCACTGCACCTGCATACTAGAACTTCCCTTTTAATAAACCCTTCATCATTGTAATCACCACCCTTAATTGAATTTGTATCATTAACTTAGTACCAATCACCCAACTCCTATGGATTAAATCAATGGACAGACATATAGGGATAGTAAAACATTAACAAGGTGAGATTTGGGCATTGGAATCATTTATCCTTCATGCATACAGGCGATCCCATTGAAATTCAAACATCTTTTAAGAGGCGAGAGACCTGATTTAATATGCAGTGCACACACTTCACCCACAGGTTGTTGCCTGGTCCCAGATCTGTTTGTGTCATCTTGCCAACTCCTATGGTCATTGAGTATGTTTACATGCATACAAAAACATGATTATTGTGAATAGTCAGATTAATATAAACAGCTCGATTTAAACGTTTACATGACTTGCAAGAAGAACGATTTCCCTAATAATCCTGTTTACACGGACACATCTGAAATCAGGCTACCTGATGGGACTTTGATAAATGCAGAAAATCGCCAATCAAAATAAAGGTTCTACCACACGTTATTTTTGTGATGCCTATTTGATTGTCGAATTCGGACATATAACGTTTGTATGGGAAAACTATTTCTAAGATGCATATTTTCCGTTTTTCCGAACTCACTTCACTAGCGCAAAAGATAGAAGCTTGCGCTGCTCGTACTAGCACATGTGCAAATCTAATACACCACTGTAACTCTGATTAAGGCATTTACATGTCCTCATAATTCTAAAGATTGCTCAGAAAACCAGGTGTTTTAATCGGCGTATGCTTACTTCGATGTTGACCTTGCGCCGATTAAGATAAGTAGAGTAAGGTGTTTACAATTTACATCACTAATGCCATACTCGGCCTACTGCCATAATCAGTTTAATATCGAATTATTCGTGTTCATGTAAACATACTCATTGTCACATCTTAACATAAACTGATCTGGGACCAGGCTAATGTGGTGGGTGCGTGTGACCGTCATAGAAACAAACTGCCTTCCCAGTGTAGCCTATGTAAAATAAACAGAAATCAGGCCAGGAGGAAAACGGCAGGGTTGCTGCTCTAGAAAAAGGCCTGCTGTCTGTCTTCACCTGCTGAGTGGGATGGAAAGTCACAGACAGGACAGACAGACAGGACTTCACCTCTCCTTCCTGAACCCAGCGGCGATATGAAGAGATGAAGGGCTTCCTCATTCTTCACTACAGTGCTGACAGACGTTATTAATAGGTGGTAATAAGTGCTTGGGGAGGCAACACAGGCTGGGTGTCGTCCCTCCAATGGCCTCCCCTTCCAGCTTCTCACACAGGGGTGGGGTGGTGAGTCAGTGGGGTAGTCGTGAGTGTGTGTGTGCGAGAAAGAGAGTGAGAGAGTGTGTGTGTGTGTGTGTGCATTAGTGTGTGTGTGTGTAAAAGGGGAGTAGGGGGAGGTGGGCACCAGCCCTGCAGAAAACCCCTCTAGTCTCCACCCAGCCTGCACACCACAACCACATCCACACATTAGTCTTAGTAATGAGGGTGTTAGGGGGCAGAGTGTCGACAATAATTGGCTGTTAGTCAAGCACTGTGCCTTGTATGATTGACGGAGCGGATCGAATGACATAATACATAACCTGTAGAATACATAACCTGTAGAATACATAACCTGTAGAATACATAACCCGCAGGCCAATAGAGATGAGTAATATATGGAGGCTTGGAACTCCACCGTGACTGTGCACTCTTGGGGAATAGGGCTAGCATAGTTGGTTTATGGCTGGAGCTCATCAGTGTTTTTATTTTATTTTATTTTTGGGGGCCAAATCTAAAGGAATAATTCAAGAACTTGTATAAAAGTTGTCTGCTCAAAGACAGACATAAGAAGGCAGTACTTCTTATCACAGAAATCTAATGTTATATAGAGTAAAAAATCCCTTTAAACCTAGTTCCCAACAAAGCTCATTAAAAATCCTGTTCCCTTCTTTCCCTTGATTAAAATATAATTAAGACCGCATGATGTGAATAACTGAATATTTAACGAGTCATGTATAAAAATATATATATAACAATTAAATAATGCAAGACAAGAGCAAATTATCCCACGCACAGAGCTGCCGATGATGAGTTACTAATGCTTGGAATTCAAACTGACATGCTCCGTTTCACCATGGTATCAGTTTGTATTCCAGGCTATTCCAACCAGGACACAGAGAGAGGAATGTGAGAACCCTGCTATACTACAGCAAGCAGAAGTAGAACTGAAGTAATGAAGCATATTGGAGATGGATAGATAGATAGGCTAGATGGATCAGTGACAGCACAGCATCCCTCCCCAGCCCCTACAGCCCTCTCTCCCTCTCCGTGCCCAGACTGCTCTGACGTCAATCATCGATAGATACATCATGCCCTCAGTAGACAGTTATTTATTATTAATAAAGGCAGCTGACCCCACGCTGCGTCTGACCTACTTTCAGAGGAAGGAGGACATAACTAGATCGGTGGAGGAGAAAGGGTGGTGGCTTTACAGAGAAGGCCACAACAACAAATCACACGGTTTACATTGGCTGATGTTCTTCAGTCTGTATCAATGCACTGATGAACTTTCTTCTTCATTATTATAATCAAGACAACACACTGCATGGGACGGTAACTAACTAACCTTTTCTCAATGGGCTACATTCACTGAAGGAGACAAAACCCAATACATTTCTTTAGTGATTTTTTAAAATATTTTTTCTTGTCTAGCCTTCTTTGTGTGAGAAACCTAACCCTGTAAATACTTTTTTTTGCACCACCAAAAGATCCTGTATACACTTTGTAAGTCAGTTGAGTGGCGCAATGGAACATTGTTTAATCTCTCTGCAGTAGAAGTAGTAGTGATGGAGTTCACTCACCTCCAGCAGGGTAGAGGTCAGGTGGGGTCAGGAGGAAGTCCATCTTGTCCTTCAGGTCATCCTCATTCTCCTGCTCCCATCGAGTGCCTGTCTGTCTCCACAGGTCAGCAGCTAGTTGACTGAAGGGGAGAGAAGACAAATATAATGATAATGCACGTCCATCCCTGCGACGGCAGACCCAGGATTCGAACCCACGCCACAACGACGCAATGTACAAACAACACAAAAGCCCAAGCTAGCCAACACAGTCAGTGATGAGCCTTGTGGGCTCCTGCTATTCCCTCTTTCACACCAAACCTACTGTATAAGTAGGTATCTACAGTAATCTGCACAAGCAAACCTGATACATACGTGTGTATCTTAGGCTGCATATTTCCTAGGTCTGACAGAGTGAGTGAATGGGTGGGTGGTATCAAAGGCAGAGTGGTTAAGGACTGGGTCAGTCATACAATAGCAGGGCTGGGGTCATTTGAATTGAAGGCAGTCAATCCAGGAAGTAAACTCAAATAACAATTCAAAATTGGAAAAAACTGCATCTATTTTCAAGGAGTAGAAGCTATTTATTTCAAAAGTTTAAAACTAATTTTAAATTAAAATCACTTCCTGAATTGACTGCCTTCAATTCGAATTGAGCCCAGCCCTGTACAATAAGTACCTAATCTCTGGGATGTCATCGCTGAGGCTGCTCAGTAGGAGGGGGATGAGCTTGTGGAAGTAGGAGTATCTGTCTCGCAGGTGGAGCAGCCAGTCACCAACAACCACAGTCACAGCTTTTCTCACCTGGAGGAGAGAGGTGGGGTGAGACAAAACATAGTTTTTTAAGTGAGGAAAACACCTTGTATGGTACTGTAGTAACTAAGGGGTTCTCAAAGTTTTTCACTCGGTGCCACCGTTCCAGCATTGGGGAACATCCCGCGCCCCCCTGCGCGTGCGCACATGCCACGTCTATTTCTATGTGCTGTTCATGACACAAACTGTTCACAACATTCGTTGGTGGAGAGAATATTGCAGGTTTAAAGCTTATTTCCTACAATTCTATACATTTTGTCATGTCTAATGTTTATTCATGTGATATTTGAGTGACTAAAAAGTAACAACAATATCTATGGGCTAAAAAACCTAAATAAAAAACATTAGCTGACATGGGCTAGTTGATCTGGACATTTCTGACAAGTTATAAATAGCTCTCTAAGGTATGCAATGACTAACAAGAGGAACTGATGATGCACTATCCAATTTCAAAATGGCACCTTCTGCATTCTACTATAACAACTTTCAAGAGTAAGTTTAAAGCCGGACTAAGTTCCTTTAAAAAAGAAATATATATACAGTACCAGTCAAAAGTTTGGACACACCTACTCATTCAAGGGTTTTCTATATTTGGACTATTTTTCTACTTTTTAGAATAATAGTGAAGACATCAAAACTATGAAATAAAACATACGGAATCATGTAGTAACCAAAAAAGTGTTAAACAAATCAAAATATATTTTATATTTGAGATTCTTCAAATAGCCACCCTTTGCCTTGATGACAGCTTTGCACACTCTTGGCATTCTCTCAACCAGCTTCATGAGGTAGTCAACTGGAATGCATTTCAATTAACAGGTGTGCCTTGTTAAAAGTTAATTTGTGGAATTTCTTTCCTTTAACGCGTTTGAGCCAATCAGTTGTGTTGTGACAAGGTAGGGGTGGTATACAGAAGATAGCCCTATTTGGTAAAAGACCAAGTCCATATTATGGCAAGAACAGCTCAAATAAGCAAAGAGAAACGACAGTCCATCATTACTTTAAGACATGAAGGTCAGTCAATACGGAACATTTCAAGAAATTTGAAAGTTTCTTCAAGTGCAGTCACAAAAACCATCAAGCGCTATGATGAAACTGGCTCTCATGAGGACCTCCACAGGAATGGAAGACCCAGAGTTACCTCTGCTGCAGAGGATACGTTCATTAGAGTTACCAGCCTCAGAAATTGCAGCCCAAATAAATGCTTCACAGAGTTCAAGTAACAGACACATCTCAACATCAACTGTTCAGAGGGGACTGTGTGAATCAGGCCTTCATGGTCGAATTGCTGCAAAGAAACCACTACTAAAGGACACCAATAAGAAGAAGAGACCTGCTTGGGCCAAGAAACATGAGCAATGGACATTAGACTGGTGGAAATGTGTCCTTTGGTCTGGAGTCCAAATTTGAGATTTTTGGTTCCAACCGCCATGTCTTTGTGAGACGCTGTGTGGGTGAACGGATGATCTCAGCATGTGTAATTCCCACCGTAAAGCATGGAGGAGGAGGTGTTATGGTGTGGGGGTGCTTTGCTGGTGACACTGTCAATGCACTTAACCAGCATGGCTACCACAGCATTCTGCAGCGATACGCCATTCCATCTGGTTTGGACTTAGTTGGACTATCATTTGTTTTTCAACAGGACAATGACCCAACACATCTCCAGGCTGTGTAAGGGCTATTTTACCAAGAAGGAGAGTGATGGAGTGCTGCATCAGATGACCTGGCCTCCACAATCCCCCGACCTCAACCCAATTGAGATGGTTTGGGATGAGTCGGACGGCAGAGTGAAGGAAAAGCAGCCAACAAGTGCTCAGCATATGTGGGAACTCCTTCAAGACTGTTGGAAAAGCATTCCAGGTGAAGCTGGTTGAGAGAATGCCAAGAGTGTGCAAAGCTGTCATCAAGGCAAAGGGTGGCTATTTGAAGAATCTATTTGGATTTGTTTAACACTTTTTTGGTTACTACATGATTCCATTTGTTTTATTTCATAGTTTTGATGTCTTCACTATTATTCTGCTATGTAAAAAATAGTAAAAATAAAGAAAAACCCTTGAATGAGTAGATGTGTCCAAACTTTTGACTTTTCCCCCGACAGTTTGGGAACCACTGTAGTAACTGTTGGTGTAAAAGAAAAGCAGCCTTTATTAATATGTTGGATTGATTGATTAGATTGATTGACCAGTTTTTTTTTTTTTTTTTTTCCAAAAGACATTTATCCAACAAGGAAAATAATAATCTAGATGAACACAGTAATAACAGAATTAGTCTAATAATCTAATCATTAACACTAACGGTCACTGAGTATTTGTGCTGTATCTGCCAGATTTGACAGAATTAGTCTAATAATCTAATAATTAACACTGTCACTAGGAGTAGTTGAGCTTCATCTGCCAGATTTGACATAATTTGTCTAATAATCTAATCATTAACACTGTCACTAGGAGTATTTGATCTTTATCTGCCAGATTTGACAGAACCAACCTGTGGTGAGTCGTCAAACAGCCTCTGTGCCAGGTGAGAGAGCACATCATCCACGTTCTTCCCCGTGCCGTACTGGATGACCGCTCCAGTGGCCTCGATGGTGGACACACGCACACGGGAATGCTGATGGGAGATGGTCTGCATCAGGGGCTTGACCAGGCTCTCTGCCTGCATGTGGAAATGTTCTGGGGATAGAGAAGCATTTCAAACAAGATTAATGTAAGGTGACTGTCACTTCATGCCACAGTATAAGTTAGGGTACGATTTCCTAAACCTTATCCTCAATACATTCAATTGTTATACATGTATTCAGAGAGACCATACATAGCTAGCTCTGTAGAGCATGCAAATCACAGAGAAACAAATTATTTTGTTATTGTCCTATTGTCTATATTTCCATTAACTTAATTAATAATTAATATGTATATTCCATGACAGCCTGGTAGAGCTTTGGACTGTACAAAATAACTTAGAGCCACAAAAATAACCATTCTCTGACACAGCTTGGTCAGGTGTCCATGCAATAAACTTTAGCTAACACAGCTAGCTAGCTAACTAGTTAGCCTAACTTGTGGGCTAACAAGACTACACCCAGTACATTCTCAACCAGCTTACCTGGTACACTTTTTGCAAAATGAACAGTGCATTTGCAGCTCTCCCTTTTGACGTCTGGGAAAGGGTCGACAATAGTTCTCTGCAATATCTTCATCATATCGTCGAGGTAGGGAGCTAGGTGCCTACCACACACCTCCACTGTGAGAGTCAGCACCTCCACCATGGACAGCCGAAGTTCCTCCGCGGGCTCCAGGATCTCTTTCCCGCCGAGCCGCTGCGTCAAAGCGGGCATGAGATAAGGCAACGAATCCTCCGGTTGAGGAACACACCGAATAAAATCTCCAAGCATGTGTATGGCAGTCTCTCTGCATCTTTCCATAGGATCTGACAGGCATTTCAGCAGCGACTTTAGCAGACACGTGAAAACATCCTGCAACACGCCGCTCGAAAGCCCTTTATCAATAGTTTCTCTTTTGATTGCTTCAAGCGCTCTTTTTCTTGTGGTTTTGCTGTCTTCGTTGAGACAGTTTAGATGTCGAGCTAGCGCTCTCAAAACTTCAGAAGCAGCACGTTCTTCTCCCGCCGCCATCGTTGTTGCCATTTTCACTGTTACCTTTGTTGCCATTTTCACTGTTGATATGGCAACAAGCAGCGTTGCGACAAACATACTTGCTTTACGATAACTCTAATTCAAACCTTGACAACTTTATTGACAACTATTGCACCTTTGTGAAATGCAGTGGAAATTAATCTAAATCTATGGAATAAAGATTTGACATACTGTATTTTTGTTACAGAAAGTCATTGATGTGTATGTTGAATAGCATGATGAAATAGATATATCTTATAATATAAATAGTATCACTTACACCGTAACAATATAATAACTGTAGTATAACAAAGTTGGAATATGCGGATTTAATATCATATTCTTCTTTAGGTTAGGATTAAGATATTTTTATTAAGTATGTCAGTAACACAATTTGGGGGATCCCAATGATGGACTTTGTATCACAGCCTCATAACTAAACCTCATAACTAATGGACAGAAAATGGCAATTTGGTGCTTTCTCTGCATGACCAGGTAAGGAGCAGATCAGGTCTGTCAGTGTCATCTGTCAGAGAACCATTTCTCAGTCTGACACTGCTGAGAAAAACAAATAAACACCTGCTCTCTTCTTATGAAACTGGTGCATTGAAAATGACACGATGATGTGGACATCCACATAAGGAATGCCAAGGCACATAATTATTCAAACATTTCAAATGAGTAAAGGGATTGAAAGCTTGTTCCTGGCCTCGTGAGTTGCTTTGCGGCTGAATAAAAAGTGACAAATTGACGTCATTGGGACCGACGCAGAGCGAGCCCCAGCGAAAGCAGCAACCGAGCAGCGGCAGTTGCAGCAGCAGAGCATCTTCCCTAGCTACAGAGTAGCCTACCTTGCAAACAACATCCATAGCCAGGGACCTCTGAGCATCCCCGGAAAATAACGGTAAGAAATTGAATGGCACGACGAATATCTTATCTGGCAAAACCTCAACGTGTTGACGTATTTATCAGCAAATGAAACCAGGCTTGAATATTGCTTTTTGTTTTGCTATGGTTATGATTTGGTTGTCATCTTGTGTGAGAGAGAAATGAAAGATAGGGTCGTGCCCGGAACACGTAAACAGGTGCTCTAGTAATGCTAGTTAGGATACATTTGATTTTCACAGCAAATTATATCATAACTATCTTGCCAATTTTAAATGTTAGACATTGAGGCCAATGATGGAGGTTATGGGTTTATGATAGCTAGCTAACGTTAGCCTACCTAGTTTTAGTTTTAAGCTTGTTAGCTAGCTATGTAGTAGCTAGCTTCAGAGTCAAGCTAACAAATCAACCGTGATGTTTCCTTCAAATTGAAATAGCGGAAGTGAATTTGCGGAGGCTTTGCTTAGCTATCTCTGTCCTAGATCTGACTGTCTTTGCCTATTTATTCCATGACAGGCTACCTTGTTGTCAGAAGCTATTACATTGTTTAAAAACCACATTATTTCAGAATGCATCCTTTATTTGACAGTGAGGCTGTATTCCTGATGTGGGCTAGGCTATATGTAGATTGAGGTGACACTAAACAATATGGTTCTCTAGATAGTGTGACTGTACACCTGCCACAGGTACTGATTATGATTTGATCATGTCAAGGCATTGCTTTGATAAACTAGTAGGCTACACACAGTACCAGTCCAACGTTTGGAGACACCTACTTATTCAAGGGTTTTTATTTATTTTTTAAATTTTTTTACGGTGTAGAATAATAGTGAAGACATCAAAACTATGAAATAACACATACAGAATCATGTAGTAACCAAATAAGTGTTAAACAAATCAAAATATATGTTATATTTGAGATTCTTCAAATAGCCACCCTTTGCCTTGATGACAGCTTTGCACACTCTTGGCATTCTCTCAACCAGCTTCATGAGGTAGTCACCTGGAATGCATTTCAATTAACAGGTGTGCCTTGTTAAAAGTTAATTTGTGGAATTTCTTTCCTTCTTAATGCGTTTGAGCCAATCAGTTGTGTTGTGACAAGGTAGGGGTGGTATACAGAAGATAGCCCTATTTGGTAAAATACCAAGTCCATATTATGGCAAGAACAGCTCAAATAAGCAAAGAGAAACGACAGTCCATCATTACTTTAAGACATGAAGGTTAGTCAAAATGGAAAGTCGCAAAAACCATCAAGCGCTATGATGAAACTGGCTCTCACAAGGACTGCCACAGGAATGGAAGACCCAGAGTTACCTCTGCTGCAGAGGATAAGTTCATTAGAGTTAACTGCACTTCAGATTGCAGCCCAAATAAATGCTTCACAGAGTTCAAGTCACAGACACATCTCACCATCAACTGTTCAGAGGGGACTGTGTGAATCAGGCCTTCATGGTCGAATTGCTGCAAAGAAACCACTACTAAAGGACACCAATAAGAAGAAGAGACCTGCTTGGGCCAAGAAACATGACCAATGGACATTAGATAAGTGGACATTTGTCCTTTGGTCTGGAGTCCAAATTTGAGATTTTTGGTTCCAACCGGCATGTCTTTGTGAGACGTGGTGTGGGTGAACGGATGATCTCCGCATGTGTAGTTCCCACCGTAAAGCATGGAGGAGGTGTTATGGTGTAGGGGTGCTTTGCTGGTGACACTGTCTGTGATTTATTTAGAATTCAAGGCACACTTAACCAGCATGGCTACCACAGCATTCTGCAGCGATACGCCATCCCATCTGGTTTGGGCTTAGTGGGACTATCATTTGTTTTTCAACAGGACAATGACCCAACACACCTCCAGGCTGTGTAAGGGCTATTTTACCAAGAAGGAGAGTGATGGCGTGCTGCATCAGATGACCTGGCCTCCACAATCCCCCGACCTCAACCCAATTGAGATGGTTTGGGATGAGTCGGACGGCAGAGTGAAGGAAAAGCAGCCAACAAGTGCTCAGCATATGTGGAAACTCCTTCAAGACTGTTGGAAAAGCATTCCAGGTGAAGCTGATTGAGAGAATGCCAAGAGTGTGCAAAGCTGTCATCAAGGCAAAGGGTGGCTATTTGAAGAATCTCAAATATAAAATATATTTTAATTTGTTTAACACTTTTTTGGTTACTACATGATTCCATATGTTTTATTTCATAGTTTTGATGTCTTCACTATTATTCTGCTATGTAAAAAATAGTAAAAATAAAGAAAAATCCTTAAATGAGTAGGTGTGTCCAAACTTTTGACTGATACTGTAAGTGTCCGTGGTCATCAACAAGCCATATTAATAGGCTTCTGTCTATTGCAGTTTGGAGATCCAGCCCCTATCACATTTAAAGAAAATGCAAACTGACAGAGACAAACACACAAACAACCAGGGGCTGATATTTCTCCTCATTCTGACAACCTTTCCTCTTCTCCTCCCTCCTCTTCTTTACTCACTCACTCACTCACTCACTCACTCACTCACTCACTCACTCACTCACTCACTCACTCACTCACGCGCGAAATTCTCTCCACCTCGCCTCCCCGCTCATCGTCTCCCCCCCATAGAAGCGAAGGGCGCCTCTCCCCACATCTTCTCTTCTCCCTCTTCAGCGGGAGGGCGTTCTCATCTCCTACATCCCCCCCCTCCTCTCCTCTTTCCACCCCTCGTCTCCCCCTCCCTCCTCCTCCTCCCCGCCCCCTTCTCCCCTCCTCTTCTCTCCTCTTCTCCCTGTGCTGCTCGCTCGCTCCAAACTCCCCTGCTCTTCTTCCCCTCTCCCTCCTCTTTCCACCTCTCCTCACCCCCTCTCTCCTCCTCCCCTCTCCTCTCCTTTCCCCTCCTCTTCTCTCCTTCTCTTCTCCCTTCATCTCCTCTCTCCTCAACTTCCCCTCCTCTCTCCCTCTCTGCAGATAAACCAGATAAATAACATGGCCACCTCCTCCTCCCCTAATGTGGATGAAGACGAGAGTCTGAAGGGCTGTGAAGTATTTGTGCAGAAGCACAACATCCAGCAGATCCTCAAAGAGTGCATTGTCAACCTGTGCATCGCCAAGCCTGAGCGTCCTATGAAATTCCTGCGGGAGCACTTTGAAAAACTGGAGAAGGTTTGTGAATCACCTTAAAGCTCCCCTTATTTGCGAACTAAAGCTCCCTTTACATTTTTACTGCATCTTCATTCTTTGCAAGATACATTTTTACCAACAATAATATTTATTTTGTTTATGACTATCTCTTTAGTTTTTTCAACTATAGGGACGTTGTGAGTAATGTTTTGTTTTGCAAATGTATGAATCATTTCTGTTGATTTGCACTCTGCTGAAAAGCAAGGATTTTCTATCAACGTATTGACATGTAATACACTAATTAACCAGCAGGTATTGGAATTGAGCTGAGTAGAAGCAATTATTATTATTTCATTTCACTGACTTGGATGTACTTTCATTAGCTGATAGTCTGATACATCAGAATACATGAGAAAGGAGACTCTGTTATGCCCATGTTTTCTTGTCATATCGTATGTTTTTTAGTATATTTGTAAATAAATAGCCTAGCAGTCGGTTTCATGATAATACTACTTTTGTCTAATAGGGCTTTCAACTCTCCACACAATGGTGGAGTACATTAGTTGAGGGCCTGGGAGCATTAGGGGCACAGAGACAGGGACAGTCTGTGCCCCATCCACAGATAGACAGGCTCAGAATGTTGTATTGACGTTGTCTATCCACAAGTGTCTATGAGACAGACAGAGAACGACCTGTTACTGTCTGGTGCCTGGACCTACAGACTACAGAATAGAACTACAGAAGGGTGAATTTCTCAGAGGTTCTCTCTCTCTCTCTCTCTCTCTCCTCTCCCTCTCCCTCTCCCTCTCCCTCTCCCTCTCCCTCTCTCTCTCCTGAATGTATTAGCTCTGGCTGTCACCTCCGTAGCGAGAAGCATTTTAGATGAGCCCAGCTGGTGCATATATTCAACCTCTGGAGCCCTCAGCCCTTGAAAGTTAGGATAGGTATTTATTTATTTCACACACGCCATGTTGAGGATTCAGCAATGGCTGAATTATAAGCTATGTTAAAGGGAAATGTACAAAAAATTCAACTTCTTAGTCTTCATCTCCAGCACTACCTC